ACCTAATTATTATACATTAAATATTTCAATTTTATTCTTTTGAATATGTTAAAAAAAGAATTTTGGTGAGAGATTTGGTAACATCTGTTTTAATTACATATGGTTTATTTGAGTAAAACTTAAATTGCACACCTACCTTTTATTCACTGTCGAATGTTTGAGAACATATTCACCCAAGTGATGACCAATATTCATTTAAAACGTACTAAAAAGTTGAAATTTTTTATCTTGAACAATGTGACCTAATTACAAACATATGCAAAAAGAGAATCCGAAAACCTGAGTTTAGGTTGTCCTCATCTTTATAGTCAAGTTGCCTTATTGGCACTCTGGTAATTATAATAATAGTGTCGGTGTACAGACCCAGAAACCACAGCAGACATGCTGACTCCATTATTGCAAAAGGTCTGTAAGGAGGGAAAGGTGCCTACTGACTGACTGGAGGAAAGGTTACCTCGTGAAACTACCAAAGAAGGGAGACTTAGGACTCTGCAAGAACTGGTGAGGAATCATGCTCCTGTCGACGCCAAGTAAAATCCTGAGTCGCATCATCCTGGAGAGATTAAAGGACGCACTAGAGACAGAACTCCGACCAGAACAAGCTGGATTCAGGAAAGGCAGGCAAATCATGTTCTGACCAAATTGCAACTCTACGCATCATCATCACAGAACAAAGCATGGAATGGCAATCAAACCTCTACCTCAACTTTATAGACTTTGAGAAGGCCTTCGACAGCATTGATCGTGAAGTAATTTGGAAATTACTCGAGTACTACGGCGTACCCCAAATATTCATCAACCTTCCTTATTCAACAGCTGTACGACAACGGCACATGTCAAGTCATCCACAACGGAAGACTCAGCGAGGCGTTTGGAGTAAACACAGGAGTCAGACAAGGGTGCTTACTATCACCAATGATATTCCTTATTGTGGTGGACTGGATTATGCGTCAGACTGTGGGAAACGAGAAGACAGGAATATCCTGGAGCGACGTGAAGGACCTAGAAGACCTGGATTTCGCGGACGATTTATGTTTGATGTCACACAAAATCGAAGACTTACAAGCGAAGACCGACAAACTGGTCGAAGAAGCAGCCGGTGAAGACAGGACTCCAGGTGAACATAGACAAGACGGAGGTGATGAAAATAACCAACCAACAACAACAGCAGCAACATCCAGCGTCAATCACCATCAACGGGAGGGATTTGAAAGAGGTTACTTCATTCACTTATCTAGGGAGCGTTGTCTCAACTACAGGAAGTCGGAACGGACGAGGATGTCAAATCAAGAATCGGGAAGGCGAGAAACACATTCATCAACCTGAAACCAATCTGGAAATCTTCGTCGTCACTCAGCATCAACAACAAATTCGGATCTTCAATAAAAACGTCAAGTCAGTTCTTCTATACGGATCAGAAACTTGGCGGGCGAGTCACAAAGAATATTTCCAACAGCCTGTTGAAGACCTTTATCAACCAACAACTGTCTTCGCTCTATACTGAAGATCAGATGCCCGGGTCGGAAAGAATCACCAACAAGGAACTATGGGAACAAACAAAACAAGAACCAATCGCCAACCAACAAATATGCAGGAGAAAGTGGCGATGGATTGGATACTCACTCACTGAGGAGGCCACTGAGTGACATCGCGCGCAATGCAGGCCATTGCTCGAGTGGAACCCGAAAGGGAAGCGGCGTGTGGGACGTCCAAGGGTGACGTGGAGATCGTGTGAAGAGGAGTTGAAAGAGTATGGACTAACATGGATGCAGGTGAAAAGTACAGCAGAAGACAAAAGCAAATGGAGACGTGCAGTTGAAGCCCTATGTTCCACTAGGAACCCAAGGGAGCAATAATAACACTGTGAATTCTACCACGTTTGTTATAATTTCAGATAATTTTACAGGCAGATGTCATCACAGGAAATAGCTATTAGCACCAGGGCTGATGAGGAATCGGGCTACTAAACTTCATGGGATAAGTAATGTTTGTGGAAGAGGATAGAACAGTTGCTAAAGTATGATTGAACAAGAATATTCTCCTGTCTTTCAGAAGTATTTTAAAGTGTCGTCAAAACACAATTACTTATCACTTTTAAACTTGAACCAATTGTTTTAAGGCATTAAATAAATCAAATTTTTTTTCTAATCCCTGTAAGATTCATTCTTTTATGTATAAAGGTCATTTACTATAAACAAATGGTTCACTAATTTTTAATGAGCAAACTGCTTGACTTTAAAAGATAATTACAAGAGGTTGAAAATGTAGTCTCAATCCAAATGAAAATTTAACATATTCTTAACACGAAGAGCTCATTATGCAAAAGAGATTCGCAGATAGTAACCGTGTTAGTATTTTGGAATCAGAATATGGAAAACAAATTTAATGAAATGTACATAAAATGGTGAAACGAAAAGTGGTTTTTAGGTAAAATATATGTCTCAATATGTATATATATATATACAAAAAAGGAAATGAATTTCAAGCAGTAATGATATTAACGTGCAAGCAAACACTAGACATCCAAATTTTCTAACGAAGGTTTAGATATCTAGCCCTCCTCAGGAATTGTGTGCCTTTATATACTTTCCAAGGGTGAGATGGGGGGGGTGAGAATTATTTGCCAAAAGAAAATTATACTTCACTAGTATGGTGAATATTGATCGTTTCGCGTCACGTTAAAATAACTCTGAAATATTGAAGGTTTTTCATTATAACTTCATTGTTTCTATAATAATTATTGTCAAACTTGTAGAAATTGTCAAATTAAAGTCATTTTTGTTGAAGACATACAGTGTAAAAATATATAAGCATGCAAATGGAGAATAAATAGACAGATATTGATTTGGACAATATCGATAAACTGTACAAACGTCAAACAAAATAATTTTCGAAAAGAAATACCATAACCAAAAACCAAAGGAATTTTTCACAGGTATATAGCATAGTCAAACGATAAAGAACAAAGAACATCCCTTAAATGGAAAAAGGAACTTCAGAGAAAGATCACTTCAGTCTAAAAGCAAAAAACATCTAAACTCCAACGAAAAAAATTTAAGAAAATCTATACAGGATTTAGTAACCTTAGTACAACAAACAGGACTGATTTCATTGGAATTTTAAAATGGTGAAGTCAGAAACTTGTCAATAACGGTAAACAAAAGAAAATGAATCGTAGAGAATATACCTGAGAAAAGTCAACAGGCACCAATGCAAATACTGTCTGTTAACAACCACCTGTACTTATAGGAAGGATAATTCTAATACATTATCTCCAATCTATGCCTACAACAATCACTGTCATGTCAAAATGAATGCTGTTTCACTGACCATCTCAGAAATGAACCTTTTTGAGAAGTCGCTATTTATGGAGTCAAAAGTTTACGGAATTAAGGTAGACAGCATTCATAAACAGTAGGTAAAAGGTATGTTACTTTCTTAACTAAGAAAAATTTAATACATATGCTTACTTTTAAAATAAAGCATTTGTTTCAGTTTTAGTCACCAGACGAAACTAGAGAGAATTTGCCGGGTTTTGGTATTTTTTTCTTTTAACGTTTATCCTTAGTGAGTTTCAACATTTTTAAATGAATGTTTGTCAATTCGATTGACCTATTTGAAATATTAACTTATAAGATGTGAAGTCCACACTTGTAAGCAATACAGATAGTACTTTTTATTCATGGATAAACAAAATTAATCAAGACTGAACTATGATTTGCATTAGGAAAAAGGAGTAATTTCACTAATTAAGGTCTTAAAGTTAGACGTCAATGAATGGAAACCTCTTCATCTTGGATAGTTTTTGATTAATGCAACAATGAACCTTCTATACCATATTATATCTAAGTTCTTACTGTTGTGCAAATAAACTCTGAATAATCTATTTTATTTGTGATGCCTTTGTTTAGTGGTGTTAACTTATAAACGAATAACGCGGTGTCGTTATAAAAACTCTTGGTAACTCTTTCTCAACCTACCGTAAATTCAAGTCACGTAAGGTGTTGCATCCACTAGTACGTAGTTTTTTTTCCAATGATGCTATTACATAGGTGGAAAGTACAAGTACTACTCCAACTACGCTAAAACCATATATTCTAATGGTGTGGAATATCTCGTTGTAAAAGGATTTGCCAATTCATGATTTTAATCAAATTGGTTTAAATCACTTTATACCCTACTGGTCAGTATACTTTAGTATATTTAAACAAGTGTTTAAATTCTTGTTTAAATAGATATCGTAATTGTTTGAAGTCGCAATTGAATTTCGTATTAATTTATCATGGTTTGCTTTTCTTTTCAGATTTTTTTTATTCTACTGGCATCATCTATCAAGTGACAATTTAATAGGCACGAAATTTTAGGAGTGTCTTAAATAAAGCACACAGCAGGAATATAAACGTAAGTGTATTTCATTTGGGAAAAAATGACAAACTAGCAGTCCCATATGAAACAACAAACAGTTGTCTCGTTACTTACACGTATCACATAGTGTAAGTACCAATTTCAGAACAATTAAAAGCTTTGAATTTTTTATATGATCGCGTTCCTAACACTATAGTGCTATGCTGCATTTATCTCTTTATCTCTTATCTTACTAGGTTCAGTGAAGTTTATGTGAGCTGATGTTGAAATCCAAATCGGCTCAGTGATCTGTCTTCTCAATGACATCATAAAAATCCACAGGTGGTTACCTTCTCTTTAAACAACAGAGTTACTGAGAAATCAATTTATAAGCTTATATCCTGCAAAAGATTTAATCCTGATAAGAAACTTATGCGGATTTTCCATACTCACAGTGTGTGTACATCATAACCAGGATCTAATTATCGTATTAGCCAACTCAGTAGTATTTCACTTTCGTATCAGTAGAGGTAAATTTGACTGACATAGAAAGCTCTATGCGAAAAACACTCAGACAGCAATAAAAATACAAGAATGTTAAATACATTTAGCCAAACGTTTTAATCGTATTTACATCAATGTAGTAGGTAACTCACTAAAATGAAGTTATACATCGTATACAGTACAATCATTAGACGATCGTTTCCAACTTCAGGTAGTCCATTTTGATCAGAAGGGTCATACAAAGGTATGAGATCATAAGAAGACTCCATTTCTGCTCGACTTGAACCAATAGACATAAGCTTTTCTATCCCTTGATTGGTTGGTTTTTCAAAATCTTTATTTGCACGATTTCCGCCTAAATAATTAAGGTGACATAAAATCCTCAATTTACGAAATATAAAATGATACGCCGAGCAATAATGTTTATAAGTGAGGAAATTTTTACTAAGGTAGTACAATACGGTTATTAAATGATAATGCAAGAAATTCTTAAGCATATATAGTTACTTCGATAGATATGATAATCATATTTACTTACGCTTTCCCACAGCGAGGCAACTCAACCTCACCAAAATTTGAGGCATGAATGTACTGATTATATTATGCACTAATTCCATAAAAACAGATCTGGCACTTTCCGTTTCCTCTTTGCACATAATACGCCACTTATCCCTCCCATAATTATACTAAAATGAGGAAAATGAAGGCGGGACACTAAATGTTCGGTGAATGTGATAACAAGGTGTTATGAAACTCTAAATATTACACAAAGAAATTTAGCGAAAACCATAATTTACCACTTTCTTCAGAATAAAGATGAAGAGAAAATAAAGGTCATATGGCACTGACATATTCGCTTGACAAACATTCTTAGAGGACCCTTCATATAATCGACATGAAAGTGTTGGAATGGATGTAAAGTCCATTACACAACTGATGTCGTCTTATTCTAGGTCTCTGCCATGACAGATCTCAATTTTTCTATCATTCCAAAAGTAAAACTCATATAAAAACATAAAGGACAGAGCCTTTGAAACGCTATAAACAGTAGTATGCTTGTAGGCAAAAACTGAACGATAATAAGTCAGCAATGGTTATAGGAGAACTATAATACCTCTTACGGACTTAGTACACTTTATTTGATGGCACAGTGTTTGGGACTCTCGACGACCATGCACATGGTCCAGGGTTCGATCCCCTGCCGACGCACACCTAATATCTATGGTTGGCCTGCAAAATTTGGGCTACCGATATCACATGCTGAAAATTCCATACTTGTACCGAAAATACAGTGTGGAATAAAGCTGTAATCAAAAATTAAAAAAATAAATAAATTATTTAAGCTACTTATAAGTAGAATCAAACGACTTCTAGGAAATATAGAACAGTAAGTATACCGATGATACGACAAATTTTACAAAACAAAGATCAGTATTACCTTCAACTGCCAATCTGGACGGCTTGAAACACGAGAAAAAAGTAACTTCCCAGAAACCCATTCGGGACCTTTGCTAAGTAAAAGCGATTTAAGTCGTCTTGCACATGCCACAGGAGTTTTCAAATAGTGTAGCTGAAGTGAAATTAAGAGAAATTAACATTTAAGATGACTAACAACACTGTACATAAAAACACCCTTGAGGGGTACGTGCATTAATGAATCTTGAAGTCATGAGTTTATGTACTGGAATCCGGGAGTGAATACGCAGAACTAAAAATCTTAAAATGAAGTCTCTGTCGAACATACATAGAGAACGTTTGAAACAAATATTTAGCACGTCATTTGTGAGTTGTTTTTCCCATTTAATTATTAGTGCTAGATAAATCACACAGATACTGAGGTGAAAAAAAGCAACATTTCACAACATATGTACTTCATTATGGACACAGTGGTAAAGTAACTGTATTGTGTAAGATAATGACTTTGCATTTTTTTTAATTGCTTTACGTTCCTAGTGGAACATAGGACTTGAAGCTAGAGGCTTGAAGTTTCGGCAGCAGTAGTGTTTATTTTTACAGGATGGGGTTGCTAGCCTCATGCCCAACCTTCCCTCTTTACCAGTCTTACTGCTGGCTTAGCGAAGTAAAGGAGTGCGTAGGCCGGGGATCGAACCCCAGACCACCTGTGTGGTCGGCGAGCAGTCTGCCGCTGTGTCACCGACCCACAATGACTTTGCATTTAAATGGAATTAATTCATGCGGCATATGCAAGAAATCAATAAGGAACCCTAATACGATCAAGAGTGGGGCATCATGAAGCTGGATAGCATCACAAGCCTTCACACAATCTGTGTGGATCATAGGCCGGTACGTGAAAAATCAGCCCAAAATAAGTGAGTTTATTTGAAGACTGATAAGTTAATAATTTAATGAAATACTACAAAACTCTACCGAAGGTATATGCAGAAATAAGGAAAATGAAGGTATATACCATACAGAGCACCAAGACAGCAAAGAACAAATATTTACCAACATTCAAAAAGATTATAACCGTTTACCTGAGGTATATAACGATGAAGTACATCACGAACGAATGTGTAAGGCGCTGTAATGTATTCTCTACGCGTTTCACCAGCTATCAGTACAGAAGCGATTCGACAAGTGAAAAGCTGCAAATATAAGATATGACGTATATATTCAAAGTACTAAAATGATATTAACAATTTTAAAACTAAATAGGTACCAATATTTGGTTGTATTTTTCTAGCATCACAATTTCGTTTATTATACTTGTTGATGCCTGTTTCATGGCTCATGATTGGACAAAGTTTCAAAAACAAGAAAAGTTCCTTTTCAGTTTCCGAGTTGTGAAAACACCTACATTCGTATGAACTCAAACATAGACTAAGCAATATGCAACCTGAAGAGTAAAAAGAATAAGAATTCTAGTGTCCACGATAGAAATGAAAGTGTTGGAACCAATGGAATACCCTCCAAAATAAAAGAAAACAATATACAATGTTCAAATTAATCTCCTTTGAATAATAGTGATGTATATCATGAAAGGAGAAGAACGCGATGAGAGAATACAATAGTAGTCTTGATTAATCATCATATTATTACAACATTTAGATGATTAGACTTACGGTTTTCATCACCAGAGTAAATTCCATTCTAACCACAAAAGTATTCCTATATTATTATTATCTTCAGTACCGAGTCAAATATACGGCTTCAAAAACACAGCTCCAATCAAACATATCACCACCCATCGTCACCAGGTTGGAAGAGGGTAGTACAAAATCTCTCAATACCTCCGTTCGGTACCAAAGCACTTTATCGATGAACTCTAACGTTGACTAAGTTATAACCTTATGATCACTGAATGTCTAGTTTAGACTAAATTCCAACTACTTTGACCCTCACGAAAAAAGTGTGGAGCATATTTTTGTATACTAACATGTAACAGGTTGTCATACAGTAATACTTTTAATATATTTTGGATTGTACCTATATACATAGTGTCGATAATCTACTGCCTTATCAAACTAGTAGATTATACACGCAACAAATGTTTTCTCGCTTATGTTTTTCTATACAAGAAAAGCTACAGATGAAATATTAGTGTTAGTGGCTACTGGTACGAAATGTATTCCCCCACAACGTGAATAAAAAGCTTGTTTAGGAACTAAAATATTTTGAAAGTACCACCTAGAGATGACATATATGCAAAGTATGAAGTTTTATAGATATCATTTACTTGTTGACCTAAAAAGAGTAGAGCACATAATAATCTCTTCTTGAATTAGTTGTGTTCTCTCAGCTGGTTAATTTAATTGCGATGCTTTCGTCGTCCTTCTAGACATCTTCAGTGCAGGTTTCAGTATAAAATGAACTTATTTAAATTCTCCATGAATGATGTAAGTGTATCTCCTGGTAACCACTGTCGTGACTGGTTATTAATTTACGTCTCTATTGATCATTTTTTATTGACTTGGAATTCTAACTTTTTTGTCATGTGATTTACTTTTTATTACCTGATACATTTACTCTATAATGTGTTTGTTAATTGCTGTTTCACTTGAGGACCAGGCTTCCAGGAATTCCCCGGCACTTCTAGTGTTTCCTCTATTTAAAATTTCTACATCATCCCAATCAAATTGATGTCCATAATTGGCCACATACATTGATACGAAAGAATATATAATGCCATTTTACAATTAATTTGTTCTTGGATTCGGATTCGAAGAGGAAGCCTATTTTGACCGATGTAGTGTTTATTGCAGTTCATACAGTTTATTTTGTAAATGGTATTGATTTTGTCTTCTTTTTCTGTTGGATCTTTCGGTTCGCACAATATCGAAAGAGGTGATTGTGCTGACCTGTGTGCTATATCTATTTCAAACGATCTAATTATTCTAGTTGTTATTTCGGACATATGTTTCATATACGGTAAGATAAATTTTCTTGTGGTTTTTGATGTTAGCTTGTTGTTGGTGTTATGACTCAAGTTTGAACAATTTTTGATGAAATTGTAAGGATATCCATTCTTTTTGAAGACGATTAGTGAGAACTTTTCCTTCATTCTCCTCAACAAAGGTGTGCTACAGCCAATAAAAAGTTCGATGGCAGTACGCCCAAACTAAAGCTGTCCAGTACTCCCCGGTTTTCAATTGTTCTCTAACTGGTAACAATCCGTGATCAACTCGGAAAAACATATCCAATCCTGACCAGCCAACTATTAAAAAAAGTAAATCACATGACAAAAAAGTTAGAATTCCAAGTCAATAAAAAATGATCAATAGAGACGTAAATTAATAACCAGTCACGACAGTGGTTACCAGGAGATACACTTACATCATTCATGGAGAATTTAAATAAGTTCATTTTATACTGAAACCTGCACTGAAGATGTCTAGAAGGACGACGAAAGCATCGCAATTAAATTAACCAGCTGAGAGAACACAACTAATTCAATGTCATCCACCTGACCTAGCAATCTTCCTCATTATTTCAATTACCTCTTTCGAAAAAGAAAAGAATAGACTAGTGAATATAATAAATTCATGCAATGAAATCAAATGTTACAGGGAAAGTTAACTTTTGATAATTAACTAAAACTTGTGTAGCGTTTTATATATGATTAGAAAAAGAATACAAATAATTATAATAATGAAGTGAGTATACATTACAAGATCCATACACACTACTTTGCCAGAGATTAACTGCAACTTTTACGCACCGTTATAATTGTCGGTTATAATTATTATATGCATACAACTATGTAGATTTGCTAAATTTTGATGGCATTAAACAGAATATTCTGGTCATAAACTACCTTTCGTTTGTTTCAAAATGAGCATAGACAGACATTTATTAATAAATTAATGAATACGGTAATTTATACTAATTAATCTACTTATCGCCACCTTATACTGTTTCGCAATATTTTGTTTGGTACATGAACACATGTAACTTATTAATACTAAATATATTTCAGTATTAGTTATCATCCCTTTAGCTTTAGATGGTTGCTTATAGGTCCAATCACTCAACTTGCAAAATACATAGTCACAAGTTCAAAACACGCACCGAATACCGATATTAAGAAAATTTAATGGCAATTACTAAATCACAATGTTTGTTGTGAAATCTTGAACACGATTTACTGAGTTGTATTACATAATCTTTCCATGCAGTGAAGAATGCAGTTAATCCATGATATTCAGTTATTTATCAGTAAAAATTAGGGAATAAGTAAATAAAACGATAATAATTTAGGAAGAGAACAACTAACCTGAAATAGAATATGTCACTGCATCTGAAAATAAGCATGCCTTTGAGTTGCCTACTATGCGCACCATACGAATCGCTCCTAAGTCACGCAGGAACTAAAGTACAATAAACAACTACAGTGACAGGAAGTCATTACTCTTTGAAATAATTAAAATAAATACGTCTCCATTAAAAAAACAAAACAAAACAAGTTTATTCAACTATGAATTCATTCTAAGGACACGATTTTACCATCATTTATTCCTAATAATTATCATTTAAATGGGTTCCAAGTGAAACCCAGGGCTTCAACAACACGTCTCCAATTGGCCCCATTCTCTGTGGTACTCTTTAACTCGTCATACGACTGTCCGCAATCTCTCATATCCTCCTTCCGCCGATCTCCTCCATGTCACCCTCACACCGACGACCCACTCGTCGCTCCCTATTTGGATTCCACTCGAGCGATAGCCTTCAATGCTCGCGATATCATTCCACGGACTCCTCAACGTATGCGCTACCCAACTCCACTTTCTCCCAAATATTTGTTGAGCAATCGGCTCTTCGTTGGTTTGTTCCTAGCCAGAGTTTCTTGTTGCTAATTCTTCCTGGACGACCGACTGGACATATGATCGTCAGTATGGAGCCAGCCAGAGAAGTGGGCAGCTGTTGATGAAAGTCTGCAACCTGTTGGAAATCATTTTTGTGACGTGCTGGCCAAGTTTCTGACTCGTATAGAAGAACTGACTGACTTCACATTTGTGTTGAAAATCCGAATCTTGTTGTTTGTGATGGCTGAGTGAGTGCAGAAGATTTCCCGACTGGTTTCAGGTTGGTGAAGGTGTATCTCGCTTTTCCGATTCTGTCTGGTTTTGACACCCTTATCCATGCCGTGCGTTTGTAGTTGAAACAATGCAGCCTACATAGGTGGAAAGACTGCCCTTCTTCAAATTTATTCCGTTGATAATGATTAGCATTGGTTGTTGTTGCTGTTGGTTGGTTACCTTCATCACCTCAATATTGTCTATGTGTACTTGAAATCGTGTCTTTGCTGTTTATTCCATCAGCTCGTTGGTTTTTCGCCTGTAAATCTTTGAGTCTGTGTGAGGTTCAACATAAATCATCCACGCGCGAAATCTAGACCTTCTGGAGTCTTCTTATCGGTCCAGTGTATCCCTGTATTCCCTACAATCTGGCTCATAATTCAGTCCGCTACAGTTAGGGATATCATCGATGGTTATAGGCAGCCTTGACTTACTCCTGTCTTCACTTCAAACGCTTCACTGAGTTTCCCATTGGGGATCACCTGACATGTGGTCAACACTGTCGAAAGCCATTTCAATGCCGATGAAAGTGAGATAGACGTTTGACTGTCATTCTTTGCTTTTTTCGATGATGATGTATCGAGTTGCGATTTGATCAGCACATGATTTGCCTTTCCTGAATCCAGCTTGTTCCGGTTGGCGGAGTTCTGCACCCAGTGCATCTTTCATTGTTTCCAGGATGACACAACTTAGTATTTTGCTTGGTGTATGCAAGAAGATGATTCCAGGCCAGTTATTGCAGATGCCTGACTGGTTCGCCCTTCTTCGGCAGCTTGACGAGATAGCCTTTCTTCTAGTCAGTAGGCGCCTACCCTTCCCTCCAAACCTTTTGCAGTAAGAGCGTGGGCATATCTGCTTTAGTCTCTGAGTCGGTTGTCAGAGCTTCGAGGGAAATTCTATCTGATCCTGCTGCCTTCCCGGATTTCACTAGCTTGATGGCTTTCAAGATTTCTACTTTTCTGGGTGAAGTGGTGTCCATTGGCGGGAAGTTCCGTGCGTGCTGTTGCTGGTATTTCTGAGCCAGTTGCAGGTGATGGTCGATTCAAGAGTCCTTGAAATTGATCAGCTCATGGTTTTATTTGTATCTACTCCTTGGTAATCAGGTTCCCTTGAACATCCTTTATTGGTCTCATCATTTAAGTTGATCTCTTCCCAGATAGAGACCTCGTTGTGATGTAATGTTCTTAGGTTTCTCTCGTCTACGGCTTGAGCCACAATAATATGTCAACAAATATTTAAAGAAACTCTACACAATGGAGTGGCTACAGTGACAAATCTAGAGAAATTGCTTTCCATTCTAAAACTGGGTCATTCAAAATCATGAATTCACGCATTGATCCTCAAAGATAGGTGAAGTGACTGTATTATCTCATCTGACATGGCACATATTTTGTATCTTTGGGCAAAGTGGTTTCTTGGTCTCCAAAGTACTAGAAAGACTCCACTTATGAAAGGAGTTCTACATCAGTGCGTCCTTTATCAGAAGTCAATACCCATTAACTAAACTATAGTTGCGTTCTCATAAACCGAAATCTATATCATGAGGTTTAACCCTACAAGGAACCTACAGTAAATGCGTCTGGTTTTCTAGGCGACCCTAAACCTGCAAAAGAGGGAAGGTTCCGCGCGGTCAGAAACTATACCCAATAAAAAAGCCAAGGCACAGAAAAAAACTTGTTTCTCGTTGGAATCCGCAATGACGACATAAGGTAAACATTCGTTTATTACACCGAAATCAGTCTGGGGACGTCTTAGTACGAGGAATAAAAGTCAACTTTTTAATGTTATTATCAAGTCAATGCTTTTATATGGGTCACAGACTCAGCGTATACGAGACAAAAAGCATTTCAAACAGGCTGCCACAGTTTAACAACAGCTGCTTTCTCTCGATGCTGAAAATCAGATGGTCGGGAAGAATAAGTAATAAGGAATTCTAGAAGGTAGAAGGCCAGCTAGGAACCTATTGTTTGACAGATACGAAGGAGGTGGATTGGGTGTACGCTGAGGAGACCTTCAAGTGACATCACATGCCATGGGATTTGGATGGGAAGTTATAAGTTGTACGTCTCTATGTGACATGAAGATCATGTAAAGAGAAATTGGAAGTTTGTAGGTGGTCATGGCGCCAGGTCGAAGTGACGACAAAGAACTGGTGATCTATTTTGCACTCGCAGCTCAAGGAGTGAATGGACCATATCATTATCCTTATTATTACGTATGACTACACAAATATAATGAATTTATTTACAAAGTAGTTTACAAATACTTCTGACAAAAAAATTCACTAAAAGGTAGCTTGGACAAAATAGGTGAAGGAAAATAGAAACATAGTTTGTAGAAAGTTAGATTATAAATATATCGTGGTTGAATATGCATAACAATTCATGAAAGCAGTACCCTTCAGGAAATATGTTAAAATGCCAAAGTATGAGGGAAATAAGAGCAAGACATTAACAGCCATTGACTGAGATCTAACAGAAATACATGAAATATCAATTACTGTACAGTCAAAAGCTATACATTCAAATTATTCGTTAATGGTGTTAAGACAGATTAGGTATATGCTTTAAGGAATATAAGCTATCGTTTTCTGCAAATACGAAAAGAAAACTATTAACATTGTTCAATTATATGAGTAAATGCAAAGTCACTTCAAATAATGTACATGTGTTCACACGTAGTTTTTGCTCATGTATATCAAATTGTCTTTTTGAATACTATACCGATTGAGGGTTGTTACTAGTTTCATTGTCAGTTGTAATGCTGTTGTGTCGTATATAGAGATCTGTAAATGTACCAATAATTGTCACATAATTCGGTTCAGGGATCAATGTTAACTCTTCAGGTGATGCTAACAGGATATCATCTAAAAATAAATATAGCAAGAGGATAAATACAAAAACAATGAAAAAATGTAGTGTTACTGAAGAGCAGACGAGTGACAGAAATTTAATTCATTTACATGATCGCGTTGGATACCGAAGCACTTTATCGATGAACTCTAACGTTGACTAAGTTATAACCTTATGATCACTGAATGTCTAGTTTAGACTAAATTCCAACTACTTTGACCCTCACGAAAAAAGTGTGGAGCATATTTTTGTATACTAACATGTAACAGGTTGTCATACAGTAATACTTTTAATATATTTTGGATTGTACCTATATACATAGTGTCGATAATCTACTGCCTTATCAAACTAGTAGATTATACACGCAACAAATGTTTTCTCGCTTATGTTTTTCTATACAAGAAAAGCTACAGATGAAATATTAGTGTTAGTGGCTACTGGTACGAAATGTATTCCCCCACAACGTGAATAAAAAGCTTGTTTAGGAACTAAAATATTTTGAAAGTACCACCTAGAGATGACATATATGCAAAGTATGAAGTTTTATAGATATCATTTACTTGTTGACCTAAAAAGAGTAGAGCACATAATAATCTCTTCTTGAATTAGTTGTGTTCTCTCAGCTGGTTAATTTAATTGCGATGCTTTCGTCGTCCTTCTAGACATCTTCAGTGCAGGTTTCAGTATAAAATGAACTTATTTAAATTCTCCATGAATGATGTAAGTGTATCTCCTGGTAACCACTGTCGTGACTGGTTATTAATTTACGTCTCTATTGATCATTTTTTATTGACTTGGAATTCTAACTTTTTTGTCATGTGATTTACTTTTTATTACCTGATACATTTACTCTATAATGTGTTTGTTAATTGCTGTTTCACTTGAGGACCAGGCTTCCAGGAATTCCCCGGCACTTCTAGTGTTTCCTCTATTTAAAATTTCTACATCATCCCAATCAAATTGATGTCCATAATTGGCCACATACATTGATACGAAAGAATATATAATGCCATTTTACAATTAATTTGTTCTTGGATTCGGATTCGAAGAGGAAGCCTATTTTGACCGATGTAGTGTTTATTGCAGTTCATACAGTTTATTTTGTAAATGGTATTGATTTTGTCTTCTTTTTCTGTTGGATCTTTCGGTTCGCACAATATCGAAAGAGGTGATTGTGCTGACCTGTGTGCTATATCTATTTCAAACGATCTAATTATTCTAGTTGTTATTTCGGACATATGTTTCATATACGGTAAGATAAATTTTCTTGTGGTTTTTGATGTTAGCTTGTTGTTGGTGTTATGACTCAAGTTTGAACAATTTTTGATGAAATTGTAAGGATATCCATTCTTTTTGAAGACGATTAGTGAGAACTTTTCCTTCATTCTCCTCAACAAAGGTGTGCTGCAGCCAATAAAAAGTTCGATGGCAGTACGCCCAAACTAAAGCTGTCCAGTACTCCCCGGTTTTCAATTGTTCTCTAACTGGTAACAATCCGTGATCAACTCGGAAAAACATATCCAATCCTGACAAACCAACTATTAAAAAGTAAATCACATGACAAAAAAGTTAGAATTCCAAGTCAATAAAAAATGATCAATAGAGACGTAAATTAATAACCAGTCACGACAGTGGTTACCAGGAGATACACTTACATCATTCATGGAGAATTTAAATAAGTTCATTTTATACTGAAACCTGCACTGAAGATGTCTAGAAGGACGACGAAAGCATCGCAATTAAATTAACCAGCTGAGAGAACACAACTAATTCAATGTCATCCACCTGACCTAGCAATCTTCCTCATTATTTCAATTACCTCTTTCGAAAAAGAAAAGAATAGACTAGTGAATATAATAAATTCATGCAATGAAATCAAATGTTACAGGGAAAGTTAACTTTTGATAATTAACTAAAACTTGTGTAGCGTTTTATATATGATTAGAAAAAGAATACAAATAATTATAATAATGAAGTGAGTATACATTACAAGATCCATACACACTACTTTGCCAGAGATTAACTGCAACTTTTACGCACCGTTATAATTGTCGGTTATAATTATTATATGCATACAACTATGTAGATTTGCTAAATTTTGATGGCATTAAACAGAATATTCTGGTCATAAACTACCTTTCGTTTGTTTCAAAATGAGCATAGACAGACATTTATTAATAAATTAATGAATACGGTAATTTATACTAATTAATCTACTTATCGCCACCTTATACTGTTTCGCAATATTTTGTTTGGTACATGAACACATGTAACTTATTAATACTAAATATATTTCAGTATTAGTTATCATCCCTTTAGCTTTAGATGGTTGCTTATAGGTCCAATCACTCAACTTGCAAAATACATAGTCACAAGTTCAAAACACGCACCGAATACCGATATTAAGAAAATTTAATGGCAATTACTAAATCACAATGTTTGTTGTGAAATCTTGAACACGATTTACTGAGTTGTATTACATAATCTTTCCATGCAGTGAAGAATGCAGTTAATCCATGATATTCAGTTATTTATCAGTAAAAATTAGGGAATAAGTAAATAAAACGATAATAATTTAGGAAGAGAACAACTAACCTGAAATAGAATATGTCACTGCATCTGAAAATAAGCATGCCTTTGAGTTGCCTACTATGCGCACCATACGAATCGCTCCTAAGTCACGCAGGAACTAAAGTACAATAAACAACTACAGTGACAGGAAGTCATTACTCTTTGAAATAATTAAAATAAATACGTCTCCATTAAAAAAACAAAACAAAACAAGTTTATTCAACTATGAATTCATTCTAAGGACACGATTTTACCATCATTTATTCCTAATAATTATCATTTAAATGGGTTCCAAGTGAAACCCAGGGCTTCAACAACACGTCTCCAATTGGCCCCATTCTCTGTGGTACTCTTTAACTCGTCATACGACTGTCCGCAATCTCTCATATCCTCCTTCCGCCGATCTCCTCCATGTCACCCTCACACCGACGACCCACTCGTCGCTCCCTATTTGGATTCCACTCGAGCGATAGCCTTCAATGCTCGCGATATCATTCCACGGACTCCTCAACGTATGCGCTACCCAACTCCACTTTCTCCCAAATATTTGTTGAGCAATCGGCTCTTCGTTGGTTTGTTCCTAGCCAGAGTTTCTTGTTGCTAATTCTTCCTGGACGACCGACTGGACATATGATCGTCAGTATGGAGCCAGCCAGAGAAGTGGGCAGCTGTTGATGAAAGTCTGCAACCTGTTGGAAATCATTTTTGTGACGTGCTGGCCAAGTTTCTGACTCGTATAGAAGAACTGACTGACTTCACATTTGTGTTGAAAATCCGAATCTTGTTGTTTGTGATGGCTGAGTGAGTGCAGAAGATTTCCCGACTGGTTTCAGGTTGGTGAAGGTGTATCTCGCTTTTCCGATTCTGTCTGGTTTTGACACCCTTATCCATGCCGTGCGTTTGTAGTTGAAACAATGCAGCCTACATAGGTGGAAAGACTGCCCTTCTTCAAATTTATTCCGTTGATAATGATTAGCATTGGTTGTTGTTGCTGTTGGTTGGTTACCTTCATCACCTCAATATTGTCTATGTGTACTTGAAATCGTGTCTTTGCTGTTTATTCCATCAGCTCGTTGGTTTTTCGCCTGTAAATCTTTGAGTCTGTGTGAGGTTCAACATAAATCATCCACGCGCGAAATCTAGACCTTCTGGAGTCTTCTTATCGGTCCAGTGTATCCCTGTATTCCCTACAATCTGGCTCATAATTCAGTCCGCTACAGTTAGGGATATCATCGATGGTTATAGGCAGCCTTGACTTACTCCTGTCTTCACTTCAAACGCTTCACTGAGTTTCCCATTGGGGATCACCTGACATGTGGTCAACACTGTCGAAAGCCATTTCAATGCCGATGAAAGTGAGATAGACGTTTGACTGTCATTCTTTGCTTTTTACGATGATGATGTATCGAGTTGCGATTTGATCAGCACATGATTTGCCTTTCCTGAATCCAGCTTGTTCCGGTTGGCGGAGTTCTGCACCCAGTGCATCTTTCATTGTTTCCAGGATGACACAACTTAGTATTTTGCTTGGTGTATGCAAGAAGATGATTCCAGGCCAGTTATTGCAGATGCCTGACTAGTTCGCCCTTCTTCGGCAGCTTGACGAGATAGCCTTTCTTCTAGTCAGTAGGCGCCTACCCTTCCCTCCAAACCTTTTGCAGTAAGAGCGTGGGCATATCTGCTTTAGTCTCTGAGTCGGTTGTCAGAGCTTCGAGGGAAATTCTATCTGATCCTGCTGCCTTCCCGGATTTCACTAGCTTGATGGCTTTCAAGATTTCTACTTTTCTGGGTGAAGTGGTGTCCATTGGCGGGAAGTTCCGTGCGTGCTGTTGCTGGTATTTCTGAGCCAGTTGCAGGTGATGGTCGATTCAAGAGTCCTTGAAATTGATCAGCTCATGGTTTTATTTGTATCTACTCCTTGGTAATCAGGTTCCCTTGAACATCCTTTATTGGTCTCATCATTTAAGTTGATCTCTTCCCAGATAGAGACCTCGTTGTGATGTAATGTTCTTAGGTTTCTCTCGTCTACGGCTTGAGCCACAATAATATGTCAACAAATATTTAAAGAAACTCTACACAATGGAGTGGCTACAGTGACAAATCTAGAGAAATTGCTTTCCATTCTAAAACTGGGTCATTCAAAATCATGAATTCACGCATTGATCCTCAAAGATAGGTGAAGTGACTGTATTATCTCATCTGACATGGCACATATTTTGTATCTTTGGGCAAAGTGGTTTCTTGGTCTCCAAAGTACTAGAAAGACTCCACTTATGAAAGGAGTTCTACATCAGTGCGTCCTTTATCAGAAGTCAATACCCATTAACTAAACTATAGTTGCGTTCTCATAAACCGAAATCTATATCATGAGGTTTAACCCTACAAGGAACCTACAGTAAATGCGTCTGGTTTTCTAGGCGACCCTAAACCTGCAAAAGAGGGAAGGTTCCGCGCGGTCAGAAACTATACCCAATAAAAAAGTCAAGGCACAGAAAAAAACTTGTTTCTCGTTGGAATCCGCAATGACGATATAAGGTAAACATTCGTTTATTACACCGAAATCAGTCTAGGGACGTCTTAGTACGAGGAATAAAAGTCAACTTTTTAATGTTATTATCAAGTCAGTGCTTTGATATGGTTCACGGACTTTTTAGTTGAATTGTGCTGGTAGAGTTCTGCAGACCTAGGTTACCTCCTACAACATCGGATTTTAGGCTCGCATTGTTGATATCATGATAGCCCCCCACTTCCTGAGTGTGCTCATGGTTGTCGTCTGGGTGACCAGACCGGAGTAGTTTAATGACTCTTCAGTTGACAATTTTGAGAATCCAGAAGCATTCCATCTGCTCTCGCAGATATCCATCACTTGTAAGCCGTATCTTTGCATTTTCTGGACTGTCTGGGAAGCTTTCTTTGTATCGTACATTGTACGGGTATTCCATCGCCACATTCTTATCCGCGCTTTCATCGAGAGAGGACACACCGGGTGACTGGCTTCCCGATGGCTTTCACCAGCGCATGGTATCACTTTACTCCTCCGGTTTCAGTCAATAATAAATTTATTTTTAATATTTCTCTTGTGCGCTGAAGTTTGTGGGGTAGTTTAATTCGTTTTCCGGGGTACGGTCGCAAGCCTAAAGCCCAACCGTCCCTCTTTATCAGGGTTTGGGACCGGTTATAAAACTATCAAAGCTTCTTACCTAAGCGAGGCTGGCTTTACTATCAGGGTAAAATAAATGTTGTAAAGTCAAAAACAAGCCTCAATGGAAAGTGAGGACAATGTTTTAAATACTTAGTTTGAATTGATGAACACTGATGAACTGAAGAAACCTTTGAAATGTTGAAAAAAAGCATCTCTTTGGTAAGCATAAAGAGAGCATTATTGCTGACTGCAGATAGATGAGTACTTGAACAACTCTAAGGGATTTGTATTTTCAATGAAACGGTATATTAAGTACTTTTCTTTTATTTCAACGAGAACAACTTTAAAAACCATAGAATTATTGATCGAAAACATAGAATAGTCTCACTTAGTGAATAAAATGTAATATTCAAATGAATCAGTATTGTTTAAAAATATCATGAAATGCGATAACAATAAAATGCATCTTTAAGAAATACATTCATATCGCTGCTGTAAGACATGTCTACTGTATGAGCGTAAATACACAGCCTATTTTCTTTAAGTATGTAAAACCGAAGAGAACCAGTGTGAGAAAAAGACACATTAGGCACATGTGAGATTAAAAACAGGAATTTTTTGAATATCCCTTTAAAAAGATTCTCCTGAATGTATTTAAATTACACTTACCATAATCCGTCAAAAGTATTTCTGCAGAACACTTATCACTATGATGTGTTGTATTTTGTATTAATTTTATCTAATAGTTCGTTAAGAATCAGGCACTTCAGAGAATGTGGTTTATTTGTTAGACTAAACAATTATATGAGGGAAATGAGTTACTGACAAAGACTAAGTAAGTACTCAGCCTCAATATATACAACCATAGGATAAATCAAAGAGGAAAAAACAGAAAATGGAGAAAAATTACTATTTAGTTCATAAAAACCTACAGGAGTGAATAATGCTACCGATATCCTAAGATTATCGCAGACGTAAATACCGTATTCACTGGATAAATTCACCAGCTAATGAAATAACGATTCACATCATATAATAACTGGATAAAACTTTCAGCCTACCCCATCTGCCAACACTATCGCTGTTTAACTTCTTGCAAACTAACATGTTTTCATAAATGATCGGTCTATTGCTAATGTCAGTCAGCAATGTAAAAAACGAAATATGAATTTAATGAGGTGTGTATAAATTCACTTAAATGATACAATTCTCAAATGCTTATTCTCAGGATGGTGCGTTTTATTTACAATAAACAGATTATTAAGTGTACAAGCTTTAGTTGTTAAAACGGTAAACATCAACCATAGATTACATTATATTTTAAAGTAATATTTGAAGGGAAACAATTAGTACAGGATAACAGTCAATAACGAATGTGACTGAGTAGTGAACGTCCAAAATTTGGAAGTGATTTCAAAATCACTCCGTATTTTCAGGTTAAATTCTATTGCCTTTATTAAAAGAGAATATTAGTAATAAGAAATCAAAGGTTACTGATTTCTTTCTATACATGTGATAGCTCATTAACACATCATAAAAGAGCAGGGACGTTGAGAAATTCCTATTCTTTTTTGATAATAATCCCTACACCATTTAATTCCTATTCTACATTATTATTATTATTATCAAAAGTTTTAAAAAATTAAAGATCTAACATATCAAAAGAGTTGATTAGTGAATATAAACTTACGCACAGTAATTGACGGATAGCTTGTTGACCAAATAGAGTTTGATGTTGCTGAGCAAATAAGGCTAGTGTGGTTCCACCATGGTTAGTTAAATTAGCACATAAACTTTGTAGAATATCACAAAATAACCTTGGTTTAGGTGATCCTATTTCGGAAAACCAAGGTTGTGGAAAGAAATAACCTTTAGGTATTTCATCCATACTGGACGAGTATGTAGCTGGAGAACTTGGGTCATTTTGATTCTCCACTGTCTCTGATAACGTTGAATCTAACCTTTAGGAAATAATTTAAAATGTACGGTGAAGTGAGCAATCGAACACATATTCTTAACAAAAAGGTAATTCCTTTAAAAGCCGACACAATAAAATAGTACCAAATAATAAAATTTTCAAAAAAAGCATTGGACTGCATATGAAATTTTAGCAGAGAATGCGAAAAGAGGCCAGTCCAAACAACAAAAAACGACAAACGAATTACATAACCGAACGGTTAATATGCTTGTTTTGTGGTCTGAAATATTTTTTCTTATAGGACCATGGATACACATCCCTAGGGGAGCTAAACTACAGCAATACAGGTTTGCTGTCACCAATGGTGTCGGTGAGTGACTAATTAATTCAATTCCTACAAATCTAAAAGGGTCAAATTTATTCCAGAATGTAAAATGTACTTGTAATGTCGATCAGCTACATTTCAATCTATCATCAAGTTCAAATGACTTCATTTAACTCCTTCACTTTTATAACAGCCATTTAACGCAAACGAACAGGCTTTCATTTATTCAATCAGCTCACAGTTTAATAGGTCTGTCTGTCCGTCTGTTTTCGACATAGAACTTTGCACAAATGTCTGGTCTGGTCTGGATTCAACATAGAACCTGGCACCGAAGTGCACCAGTTCGAGTTGCCACGTTCCAAATAGCACACAAAAATAGACAAGAAGATGAGTGAAGAGAATCAATAGAGTTTGACAAGTGTAAGAGTGAAACAGAATGGGTAATGGTAGAAAGGAATATGAAAGATTACAGAGACTAAATACATCTGCGCTGGCCATTGACAACGATTTTGAGCCATGTCACCTATTGTCTCCAGCCATTGATTTCTAGAGTCCCGAGGCCCCCAACCCGGAAGTCTGCATCTCCCTACCTGACTCAGTTTAACTGTCAAGGATTTCATGGATTGATGTCATGTTTTTGTTTGGCCACCACTGGCTCTTTTCCAACCTTCACATATATCAGTTAGCAATGCCCGTCGGGGGAGGCGGTTGTTAGGCATGCGCAGCACGTGACCTAACCATCTCAGTCTGTGTAACCTTATAGCCTCGTCGATTGATTTTCCCTCTTTGCCCAACACTCTACGCCTAACGTCAACATTACTTACCTTATTAAACCACCTAACGTGAGACAGAGATCGCAGACATCTATGATCGAAAGCAGTCAACCTTTTCATGTCTTCAACGCGTATTGGCCATGTTTCGGAGCCATAGACAAGGACGGAGCGAACTGCTGAGCAGTACACACTTCCCTTGGTTGATAGCCGGATGTCACGCCTACGCCAGAGATGGTGTAAGTCAGCGAAAGCAGCTCGAGCTTTTCGGATCCGTGCTGAGATTTCATCGCCAATCAGTCCGTTGGTGCTAATACAACTTCCCAAATAGGTGAAGTGGTCAACATGTTCTATCACTTCACTCCCTATCACTAAGTTAGGAGTTGACGTGGTCCAGTCTTGTAGCAGCATCTTACATTTTGTAGGAGCGAATCGCATGCCAAACATACGAAGATTGCTGCTCAAGGTGTTCAGAAGACTCTGCATTTTGTCATCATCCTCCCCTAACAGGACTATGTCATCTGCATATTCTAAGTCCATAAGACTATTCCCTGGTAACAAGTTGATTCCTAAGTCATTACGTTCAGTTAAGTGCGGCAGTTAAACCCACCACACTCCATGCAGCACACAAAGCAAGAGAAGAAAGTACAAAAAATGCATAATAGAGACCGTAAGCAGAGGTGTGAGACAAAGGAAGAGTAATGACGAAGAACAAAACAGTTTCATTGGAAATCATAGGTCACAAGGAGTGGATGCATCTGCGCCACTGAGAACGATTTTGACCCATGTCAGCAATTGTTTCCAACCATTGGTTGGAAACAGTTTGGGAAACACACCATTATATGAAGCTATACTCCGTGGAATGGATGGATTAGACACATTTTGTGTGTCTATAACATGTTTATGTAATAGACACTTACCTCAGTCTTTTTGGTTGAGGAAAGGATTCGGATTGCTCACTTTTTACTATTTCTGTCAAATTCGGTTTAACATTTGGATGAAGATTTATATTCGGCTTTAAGTGAACTAGCCACAAACGTATGTGTTTCTGATGCACGAACCTAGAATGAATGCTGCCGACATTGAACACCTAAGTAAAAAAACAATGACATAGCCGTACTAAATTTAAATAAAACTACCAAAATTGAAATATAACAAAAGCCCTGTAGATTTATTAAAACATTTCTACTCATTGGGTTCCGAATTAATCATACTTCAAGAATTTATTAGTAAATTAAAACAATTAGTCCCTTTAACCATGTTAGTTGTAAGGCGGTTGTAAAGAAACTACGAAATGATATCATCTCGCGAAATTTGTCTTCTTAATGCCTTGTTCAAATTTATTAGTAATAAAATAACCGTCATGATAGTAAATTTATTATTCTTATCATAAAGATCAACTAATGGAAGTATATCTATTACTAGAGATAGAGCATAAGAAGCCAATTCAACAAAAAAGTGAATGACTTTGAAATGCTTAATGATTTAGTAAAAGAAATCTTAACCATTCACTGATCACTTTCATCATGGACGATTTGCGCACTTCCCATTCCTGTCATACATCGGCAATAATATATTCGCGAAAAAAAGGCGGATGTTCATTATGTGAATGCTGAAAACACTTAAAATTCATGCATACATTAAAAAAAATGATATGCTAAAATGTAACATATATCAATCACGCCTCAGGTATTCAGAAGGATATATTCTTTTAAATAGTAAGTAATACTGACTGTTCATTCATACGAGATACGAGATTATACTCAAATAATTAGAATACAATTACAAATTCAGCTTGTCTCTAATACGTAATTAGCACCTTCTGTCTGTCTGTTTTCGACATAGAACTTTGCACAAATGTGCGGCAGTTAAACCCATCACACTCCATGTAGCACACAAAGCAAGAGAAGAAAGTACAAGAAACAAGTACAAGAGACAAAGGAAGAGTAATAACGAAGAACAAAACAGTTTCATTGGAAATCATAGGTCACAAGGAGTGGATGCATCTGCGCCATTGAGAACGAGCCATATCATCAATTTTTTCCAACCATTAGTATTTACCGTTCCAAAGGACCCCAATCAGGAAGTCTACACCTTCCCACCATGGCTTAAACTAACTGTTGTAGATTTCATTGACTGGTTAAGCCATGTTTTGGTTTGGCCGCCGCTAGCTCTTTTTCAACCTGACCCTGAGTCAGCTAACATAGCCCGTCGGAATCTAAAGATAGTAGATGTGAGGCATAACTGAATCCCTAAATTTCAAGGTAAAATATATAGACAAACAGAAACTGTAGCAATGGGATCACCAAAATCCCCTATCGTAGCCGACATATTTATGGACAGCTGGGAAAATAATGCTCTTAATACGTTTACTCCTACTCCAAAAATATGGTGGAGATATGTGGATGACACTTTCACTGTGTTTAATACAGAACATATCTCTAGCATCTTGACACACATAAACTCACTAGTACAGGGAATAAAATTCACATTTGAATCGGAAAATAAACAAGGAGAATAGCTATGTTAGATTGTAAAATAAAACGAATAGAAGGTAAACTGCACACTAGTGTGTAGAGAAGACCAACTCATTCTAATAAATACTTGGAATTTAATTCATCTCATCCGTTAACTGTTAATGCAGGCTTAGTTAAGTGTTTAACAAACCGAGCAGTGGCATTAAGTAGCACAAAAAAGACCTAAATGATGAAATAAAACAGATGGAAGAGGCTTTGGTGTAAAATAACTATCCTTTAAAATTCATTAGGAAGATCGAAAAAGGCCAAACGAAAAATAAAAATAATTGTGAAACTATTAATAATAACATAAATAAGAGAGAATATAAGTCATCTACAGTTATACCATATAAAGAGTGGACATCTGAAACCCTACGTAGGACTCTAAATAAAGCAGGAATTAGGGTGGCATTCAAACCAACAAACTCACTCAGGAACAAGCTGTGTAGGTTAAAGGACCCAGTTGACCCAATTAGACAAATAATATAATTTACAAAGTATCCTGCAATGACTGTGAGGTCAACTACATAGGTCAAACTAGTAAGTCAGGGATAGTCAGATTGTCGGAACATAAGAATTTAGCTAAGGTAAGAATGGTTGACCCCGAGAAGATAAGTAATTTAGAAAAAAGCTCAGCAATTGCAATGCATGCGCTAACACACAACCACACAATAGGGTGGGAGAGGGTTAAAATTCTAAAAAGTAATCTAGGTAGGTGGAGAGAGAGGTTGATTACTGAATCCTTGTTCATCGAGTCTACACCAACCACATGCAATAGCAATGATTCATCACTCATACCTGAAATATGGAAAATACTACTACCAATCACATCTAGTGAAAAATAATGGAACTATATAAATGAAGTAAGGAAATCGTGTGAGTACCTTGATATGATTATGAGAAATAAATTGTGCTCGAAACGTCATCAGTAAACATTACTGTATAACACTGTGAGAATTAATCAAAACAAAAATTTATGCATAATGGAATTATACTCTACCACAGTGCACAACTTTTCTTCTTATATTTCTCAACTTATTATACCATTTCACACGGGAGATAGAACGCAGGCACCTATGATCAAAGAAAGCTAATCTTTTCATGTCTTCCACTCTCAGTGGCCAGGTCTCACAACCATAAAGGAAGACGAAGCGGACTGATGAGCAGTACACCCGCCCTTTGGTCGATAGTCGAACATCTCGTCTACGCCAGAGACGGCATAAACTGGCAAATGCGAAACGAGCCCTCTGTATCCGTGCTGAGATTTCGTCAGAGATCAACCCGTTGGCATTGGCTGATGGTACTTCCAAAATAAGTGAAGCGGTCAATGTGCTCTACCACTTCACTTCCTATTTCTAATCTAGGAGTCGGTGTATTCCAGTCCTGTAACATCATCTTACATTTTACAGTAGGAGCAAATCGCATGCCAAACATTCGTAGATTGCAGCTCAAGGTGTTTAGAAGACTCTGCATTTTGTCAGCGTCCTCGCCTAGAAGGACTATATCGTCTGCATATTCTAAGTCGATGAGATTATTCCCTGGTGGTAACAAGTCAATCCCTGAGTCGCTGAAGTGAGTTAGGGTTAAGTCCATTAGTACATCTATGATGAAGTTGAATAGAAAAGGGGATACTGTGCATCCTTGACGGACACCACTAGTCGTCACCAGTTCAGATGACAACTCACCGTAAGCCCTCACCTGGCTGTATGAGTACGAGCAGAGTGCCTTAATCAGTGCAATATATTTTCTCGGCATTCCCTTTACAGCCAAGCATCTCCAGAGAACCTCTCGGTCGACAGAATCGAATTCTGCCTTTAGGTCAAGAAATATAATGACTGTTGGACGCTGGTAGGAATGTCTATGTTCTAGAATCTGTCGGAGGGTGAAGATATGATCAATACACCCTCTTCCTGGTCTAAAGCCTGCCTGGCTGGCTCTCCCGTGTCTGTGCCTCTCGAGCACCACTTAGTCTACGCAATATTATTAAGCCTAGGACTTTAGATACTATATAAGTCACGCTAATCCCACTGTGATTATCACAAGAAGACTTGTCTCCCTTCTTGTATATGGAGATAGCACCTTACTTTATAATAAAGAATTTTATCACAGAATTTTTCCAGTACACAGAAAAAGAACAGTCACCTATCTAAGTAACATCATATTATATATATATATATATATATATATATCATGCACGTTTTCACAATATATTCTTCGGTATTATTTTCTTATTTTATGTGCAAGTTGATTGCTTTACAAATAAAACTAAATTTCTAATTTGAAATACTTAAGAAATAAAGGAAATAAAACAAACTTTACACTGAGACTATTTTGCTCGATCGAGCGGTTAACTGAGACAACAATCTTGCAGTGTTTTGTTGGAAAAGTATATGATAAACTAATCAATACTAATCTCGTGTCATTCTTTGGTTATGCTGGCTTTTCAGTTGTCTAGAAGCACAGACTAACTTATTACCTGGCAGAGTACAAAGCACAAAATCTGTTTAACAATAACCGCCTAAACACAGACATTCACTTAAACGTGTACATGAAACACTCATAAGAAAAGGATATTCTCCCGACATTATTTTCACAAATAGGACAAACTTCTCTTTCATCTTTTTTAAACATGATTCTACATTTACAATCATAACGCAATAAAGTTTCGATATCTAGACAATTGAATCATGTACATAGTATAGGTGGTACAACCTAGTCGCTTGAAGTACTCTAACTAGGATTTCAAGAAATTATGCACACACAATCGAGAATACAAAAAGCAGGGTACATCAGTAATGGAGTGGGAGGTAAAGAGTGTTAAAAATTAAAGTATTTCATTCCCTTAGGATTGTATGGAAAATGAAAAACTAATGCCACTTTACCAATTTTTTTGATTTTGATTACAGCTTGACCTAACACTGTATTTTTGGTACAAGTATGTAATTTTCAGCATGTGATATCGGTAGCCCAAATTTTGCAGGCCGACCTTAGTTATCAGGTGTGCGTCGGCAGATGATCGAACCTTAGACCATGTGCATGATCGGCGACAGTCCTAACTACTGTGCCACCGACGGCTTAAAATATCTTGGAACCACTATGATTTCAAACAAACAGACAAATATGAACTTGTACATCGGTCAAAACGGCCACATATCTCATTGATAGGGGGACTTTGTGGAAATTCATAAAACAATGCAATACATCAACAATAATAGTAAGAAAAAAAAGTGTGATGTGAATGTATCGATATGGAAACTTAAGAATTGTGGTTTTTGCGTGAACTTCTACGCACTTCCGACCACAATTAATAATATCCGTTAGGATGAAAAGCAGTGATCGTCAAACAATATTAGAGGTGGTTGTATATTTATTTCACATTATACTACAGTATGTTCAGCGAATAATTTCTTGGAAAGTATGTATAAGAATACCCCTGTGTTAATTATTGAGTGGGGATGTCGTAGTGCTTAAATTTTTCAACTTCCGTCAACCGACAGCCACCATCTGTACAGCCTGCTGTGTGATAGCAAGATATAACCATCCATCAACTTGTGTTCCACTTATCGAAAGTCAAAGTGTCTATATCAATAAGGTTCAACTTCAAAATGTAAAGATGCAGAAAAAGTTACAAATGCATTGTCAGAAAACTAATCATTTTTGAAGCTTACCACACGAGCATCTAATAAATGCCTTAGTGCACTCAAAACACTTTTACGATCACCAATATTTTCCTGAAAAAGTAAATAAATAGTGAAATAATAAACCAAAATTTTAAAAAGCTATAAATAATCATGGTGTGTGAAATTGGTGTGAATAAATCAAACAATAAGATTAAACTCCACAGTTGTCCTAACCGCAGATGCTTCATATAATTTTACTGTGATAAAAATTATTACTTGTTCACTAAACAATGGCTTATTGATTCATCTACTAATTAGTACTCACATTTAAATTATTATATGCAACAGAGAGCAGTATGGATTCTGAGATTCGTAAAATACAAGAGATCACTAAATAAAAAGTAAGTAACTCAAAAATTTACTAGCGAATAATGGATATTATACTGTTGTCTAGAAGGATAGCGAAAGTTTCGCAATTAAAACAATGAGAACCAAATCAAAAAGTTATTTCCAGTGAAACATCGAAAACATGTATGTTCGTAGAAACATTATAATTATTATACCCTTAGGTTTCGAGTGAAGCATATGTCTTCAGCAGCACATATCCATTTTTATGGTACCCTTGGGTGCTGAACTTTTCATCTCCCATTCAGGTCCTACTCGACGTCCTTGTGTGTAATATCATTCAACGTGTCCAATCTGTCTCCATTTCTTTAGGTGTATTTGTTGGGCAATAGTTTTTCGGTTAGTTTGTTGCCAGAGTTTCTTGTTGCTTGTCCTTTCTAGCCATCCGATCTTCAGTAATGAGTGAAGGTAGGTGTTGATGACAGTCTGCAGCTTGTTGGGAAGGATGCCTCTGACGCGCCAAGTCTCTCAAAAACTGAAAATTGATAACTATAATACTGTGCTCCACAGTATTGACCGATCGTGTAACAATGCAATTAGCATATTAGAAGAAATAAGCTCTCACTGTATAAATTGACAAAAAGATTAGTAAAACTCGGTAGACATAATCCAATCTAATAATTAGTTTTAAAGAAATCTATAGCGTTTTATACATTCCCAAATAATGCTTCGCGACTTGTGTCACTTAATTAGAAAAAGGCATTCCAGTGGAAACATTCAAATAATATAAACTCATCACAAGTGAAAATCATTTTATTATAGAAAACCGGAGATTTAAAAAAATATGTATGAGCAATATTCAACGCGGATTGCTTTAACGCCAATAAAACGTGAGCTTTGGGGCAAAAATAAATCATCTACAAGTAACAGCTATAAACTAACCTTAATTTCCATGACAGAACGACCACTGAAACGGCCAGTCTGAATATAATCTTCGAGACGATAGGATATACTATCTTCTATTTTCATATCCAAATCAACGTCCAATGTTAGATTACGTTGATTTTCATTCACATTTGAACAATTTCTTTCAAAATCAGGTAACTGAAAAACTAGTGAATTGCTAGCCGATTGAATTGAAGATTTCAGTGAATCCCTATATAACTCGAACAACTTGGATGGACACCAACTTATGGTGTGGTTATCATTACTGCTCAAGACAGCTTGGATATAACCACCAGTAAATGATAGATGATGATCGAACCAACGGGAGTGTCGCATAAAGTTGTAATCACCAACAAATAGTGGATCACTCAATATATCATTAGACACACCCATACGATATAGTAAATCTTTTCGAATTTCTGTTGGTTTCAGTCGCATGGTAGAATTCTGCTTAATCTCTTGTAATGAAAGTAAGTCAACTGTCTCATCTGAAATATGTGTTGGAAAAGAAATAATACACTAAATTTTAGCGGAGAAAAATTAAGACACTTCAACTATTTATAGTATCCTTACTCTAAGAACATTGAGAAAAATGATCATATATTAAATTGCTTGAACAGTTTTATTCACTTGCGATTAGACAGTGAAAAAGCATCATAAATAAATGTATGCTTTCTACCCAAAAATAACACAAAAGACAAATTTGTTGATGACACTACCTATTTGCCCAGGCTGAAGTAAGTGGGACAAGATTCAGTCTTGGAACCCACTAAATATAAACTTACTCCTAAAGTCAATGAAACATATCACTGGATTGCAAAGGTATTTCTAAAATTAGGAAAACGACCTGGTATGGAGACAGTTCTGATTTGCACAACTACTACAATGAAGAAAATATTTTACAAGAAAACATTGGCCAAGATATATTCCAATTAAACTGATTAGAATCAACATATTAGTAAAACTAAAAGACGTTTAGATAACTAACATTCAGAAATGTGTATACATAACAAGAAAGGCATGAGCTTTCAGCAGGGTGACAAAACGAGCAATAAACAAATTAGATTAAGAGAACTTTAATTAGTTTAAGAAGAGACTATTAGAAAGGCTAGGAAGATTAGATACTGCTAAGATAATTAGGGAAATGATAATGAAGGTAACTATAACAATACAAAATATCCAATCTGGAAATCATCGTTTCCATATCACTTAGTGAAAATTTGTACAGGATTGATGAAAAGAATGAGCAGAAAATAATAGAATCCACATAGTAATAAATACAGAATAGTCAGATACTAGAAACACTAATAGAAATAATCCCCATTATAAGCTTTACGTGTGCCTACTACTTGATGAGAAAAAAACGACTTATTGCTGACTGACCATCTATCAATCCAACAATGAATTTGAAACAATTAAGATATATATATATATATATATATATATATATATACATGATGCAATAAATATTAGTTTTTACGTTAAATGCATGATCACTTAAAAATGAACATATATGGAGGATACAGCAGCATTTAAATGCAACGTCTAAAAGTGAAGACGTTTGATTGACTGTTTTAAACGTAAACCTTTCCACAGAAGTGCAGCAGTTCGAGTTGCCACACTCCCTCCTTGTACCACACTAAGCAAGAGAAGAGAGTAAAAAGAAGTTCAAAAGAGAGATAACAAACACAAGTATGAGGGAAAAAGAGTAGTGATATGAAAAAATGATAGAGCTTTATTGGTTATGACAAGTCACAGAGGACGAATGCATCATCTGTGCCATTCATTGAGAACGATTTTGAGCCATATTACCAAATGTCTCCAACCATTGGTTCGTACCATCCCGAGGACCCCAACCAGGAAGTATACACCTCTCTCCCCTAGGAGTCTATGTAGTCCAGATTTTTTAGGATGATAAATATGTGACCCAGTAGGAGGCTAGTAAATAAGTAATACATTACTTACCTTCACACGTTTGATTGCTACCAACTAGAATTATATCCTCCACTTTAATAGATATCTGAATATCTACGTGCTAAAACAAGAAATATTTTAAGCATGAATCAAATTATTTAAAACAAATTTAGTAAACAGAAAATAAAAGAACATGATGAGTTGTTATAACACGACATCCTGATTGATTACAATACAGGGAAGAAGGAAAGTAAGTTATAAGCTGAACTATCTACTTCGATTTCTCAGATTTAAGACCCCGTTACACAATGTCCACAGGAGTGACTTCATCACTTAGTAAACTGGATAACAACACACTTATACAGAACACTCGTAATATTATAAATCAGTATTTTACTCAAAAGCAGTCTAGTTAATTACTAAAGCGGTATTACGATATACACAGCATTGCGTGAAGGTTTATGATATTACCCAGTCGCCAAGACTGAAGTAGTGGAGCGAGATTTCAAACCGGGTCTATTGGCTGAAAATTAAATGCTCAAGATAATGAGGCACATCTCTGATGGCAGTACAAACTCAAAATACTTTACTGTATGAAAACATGAAGGGAAAATAATCCGTATTACAACAGAAGTAACATTTAGAACCTAAGATTATAAACTAACTATCTCGGTATCGAGTTGTATTTTAATAATCGAAAAATTTTGGGTTCCGAAATCACCAATCAGACGGAAAATAGCATTTGGAACGTGAGAATATAAACAGACAGCAAAAAGTAAAAACATTTGGTACAACCTACAAAAAAGTTAACAAAACTATTGAACAACTGTTTTTAAAACTCGAAGAGAGACAGTGATAGTTATTGATTATTTAACCTTTTTAAATGTACGCACATGTAAATTAACCACTTTTAACCTGAAATTAAAATTGAAATCATGAGATAGGAAAGTTAGCTGCAATACACGATGGTTGTCGTCGCCAATGCATACTAATGTGAACAATATAGAATGTGTTTTATTTATAAATGAAAGTGTCCATTTTGCAATATCACAACAAACGTGTGGCATGAAATATTCTACAACAATAAACACTTCACAGATAACGCATTGAATCAATAATTACTTACTGTTGTACCCAAAGTCTAAGCAAACATCTCATTCTTAGAAATATATGGTTGACTTGTTTTTCCGTACTTATTTACCAATTTGTCAATTGAAAGTGCTGTCTGTCTGTTTTCGACATAGAACAGAAGTGCTAAGATAAAAATCCCACTTCATGAAACAGATAATTTCAGACACTATAGCCTTCTACCCCAACTATTCATGAATAAAGCCAACTTTTATTATATGACCTAAGTTAACGGTAAATAAATTCATGGGTTCATCACTATGTAAGATTCTAAATTAAGTCTTTTTCCTAAAGGCATTAGTCTTCAGTGATGCAGTGACTGAGAATTAACAAGACATAAGGTATACATCCCAGTAGATAGGGTTTCTAAACCTTACTAACAATTCAACACTGAACTTCAATTTATCTCACCAGTTGGTTCAATAACAAACGAACGTTATAAAGGGTTATTGGAAGCATATTTTTACGCCATAATATCCAAAGCTAAGAGGTAGAATATTACATTTCTGCCCGGGTAAGATGAATACTGTAAGACAATACTACTATGACAAATATTCCGACTGAAATCCAACTAACCGAACTTACTGGATAAAACAATAATAATTCCAAGAAAAAAGCTACACAACCACCAGTTGTTATATCATTGAATAAATGTTTGTTTATTAGTTTTTGAGATTGTTTATTGACTTCTACAGCTTCTTTTTCTTTATTTCTGCTTAGCTGAGACCTTATCATTACAGTATTACTACCAATCAAATCCATACTACCAATACGAGAAGAATTCAGTTGGTTAACAGCATGAAGCCAAATTGAATACGATTCATTAATATACTTAGTTTGTGTAGTGAATTCTCCATGAGTCCATCGTGAAAATCTATAGATGGTGAATAGGAATATGATTTACATTAATTAGTTAAACAAAAAATCTGAATGAAAATCTATAACATCCCCAGAAAATACACTCTTTTAATTGATATTTTTCACTCTTTTATGGTAAATAGAGGTTCTATATCTGTTTTGAAATCGAAACAATATTCGAAAGTATTGTTAATGATAATGAATGGACTGATTATCTTGTAAAAGTGGTATTCAAAGGACAATACAGAACAGTATAAACTTGTTCAGCTTTATATAATACAATTACAATTTTGATGTTAAGTTTACAAAACTAACCAAATTTCCATATAAGTATGTTTATTAGATATATCACACAGTGAAACAGTATTATTCGCTGGATGACGTTTCGAACAAAATTTATTGTTCATAATCATATCATACCAAAATTCAATAATTAACAATATTGGTGCCCACTCAATCACTCACAATCACTTATTGCACATATTTATACAAGATGACAGTTCTAGAAATGGGAGGTTTATGTAGGGAAAAAATGATACGGTCTCTAACAACCAGTTGCATAGTCCATTATCGCAAGCATTTACCTAAGCACCACCACCAGAACAATATTTCACCAGGGTGATAATAAACTACTTAGAAAGAAGTAGTAGTAAAATTTACTCTTCTAAAAATGAATGAATTCCTGTCATTACCACCTTCCTTTGTGCATAACTCCATGGACGATTTAGATTTAACAACAGCTTAAGTTACAATGAACTTTATTGGAAAAATAAGGAGGCACTTTAACGCCTCTATGTGATTTAAAACTAAGGTGGAAAACCACACCAACATTAGTGGAAATGCCTGAAATTTTGCAACAGTTGGATTGTGTTCATCACGAAGCTACATTTAGAATATTCATGGTACAGAACCAAATCGATACTATGAAATAAAATGTGCTTACCGGTGACTAATAGCAATGCGCACAGAGTTGACTACACGAAAACCTGGATCCGTCTAGGTAGCGTATATGAAATAAAGGAAAACATGCATAATAAAAATAATAATAGAATGCAGTATAACACTGCAGTGCTCTGTGTACAATGTAAAAAAAGAGTTCCAGACTACTCATCACGCAGAAACTCCACGCGATTCAAGTAGGGAAACCAATTAGAATAAAAATTGTTGACTTATCAACAAACACCATTATTAATCAGAAATATTTAAAAAATAAAATATCTGCTAAAAAGGAGAATGTATTTAAGAACTCATCCAGAACAAAGATTTCAAAGTAAGCACTTATAAAAAAGTGTTCATATTTTCAGTGAATCATAGTGACAAGTTGAATCAATCCACTGTACAGAGTAATTTACCATTCGAAAAAACAAACATTACCAATACCTCAAACTCTTTAATTTAAGAGTAACCACTGAACATTGAGACTATTAAAAGGCTTGTAGAAATCAGGCATCGGTTAGCACCTATTTTAAACCTTAAAAATTATGAATTAGATACAAATACTGTGAGAACAAAGGCAACCTAGGAGATCAACTCACAAATATGGTGAATTAAGTGACAGCGTTCTTTTGAATATTTATATGTGATGGATTTGAAATGGAATAAACACATTTCGCATTCAGTGTTAAAATTAAACAGCATAGTTCACATCAGATACATTTGATAGAGTTTAACACTAGAAAAAAATGGAATGAACATTACACAACTGAAAGTTAAGATGCGTCCCCCGTTTTCAGGGAAAACTAGTTAGTACAATCTAGTTGTCGAATAAACATTCATTCAGGTACTGCCTTATTACTTATTAATGACAGGCATTGACAGTTCATGAAAGTTTACCTAGTTTATAACATTGAAGCATAGCTTTATCATTTCTGGTATAACAAATTACTTATGCTTAATTATACTTAACATCATTTATTAGTGATAAGAATATTACATGGGCAAGGTGTCTTAGTAAATTTAGGTATCCCGTATTTAAAACATATCAGGATAATATGTATTATCGCCATGAAACTCTTTCATCCATCCGAAAACATAAAGGTTAGGAAAGACACAATCCGCTGTTATTCTTGATCTTAACATCAAAAAACCAAAAACACGAGGTAATAGCTGGTCTTCAGACAGTTCAGATTTCCATTTATACAAGAATAAAACTTATTACAAATTACTTGTAAAGTCACTATCAACGATATATACTGATTAATATAATTATCTTATATTATTTACCTTCTTTTCATACGATTTAGGTCGTTTAATAATATGATTTTTCAGGAGTAGAGCTACAGCATGATTAACTTGTGCTTTCGGATAATGCTTAATAACCCAAAGAAACAAAGATTCATTGAATCCTGTTGAGTCCATTGGATCGGAAGAGAAACGGAAAGCTGCCTGAAAATATTAAAATAATAATAAGTGACATAATCCACTAATAAATAATCTAGTTTTACAAGTAAACTATACAGACAGTTTTAACTAACTTCCCAAGACAGGGAAATTAAGAACATGTCATTATCGATTCCGATTTATGCTATTTCAACAATTTTGTTTACGTTAAGATGGATATTTAGTCTGAAAACTTTGTTTATAAGTGAAAAAAATAATTCCACTAAATAGAACATGACATCGTCTTATCTGGATATGTTTATACTGATCTCAAAATGTATGCAAGAAATAACTGCTTTTCTAACAGGAACGATCATTCATCTGAAAAAAACAACTAGAAAATACATCTGCATGTGTTCTTGTATTCGTGACACGCTTGACCAATATCAATGCATATTACATAATACAGTAAAAAATTTAATTTATACTCCTATAAACTCGAAAAGGTCCCCATAAGTATTATTAAATAGGACGTGGACGAGAATAAAATAATAACTAGCCAGGTAGCAGAAAACCAGCAAAAATGCAGGTGTTACTGATGAACAAAGGATAGAATCTGAAACTTTTAATAGAAATTCATTCACTTGATTGCTAACACTTTCACTGTATATCCAAGACTCAAATCCCTTACACCTTTCTATTTAGGTATTAAAGTAAATCCTAATATGCATCCGTTTATTCAATGATGCTGCATTTTGTTAAGTACCAATTACTTTCGTCCGCTGACCTCGTATGTTTTTTGTTGATAAAATAACTGAACAGTATACGGTTACGCTGGTGATTTATTCAAAAACATTACTATATACACTTGTTGCTTAAATAGACAAAATTCCTCGTTTGTTTCAAAAAATTTGATGCAAAGCCTTATTTGTGTTTTTATCTGTTGAGGCGTACAAACGATTCATCATAGATTGAAATCTTTTTCTGCGTATGTTTAGGAAGAGCAAACTGAGAATGGTGGCTTAGATAACCATATAATCTAATATCATTTCATACTCCATATATTACTAAATCTTAAATAGGACCTTCAACCAACAAACTGTCTGTCTGTTTTCGACATAGAACTTTGCACAAATGTGCGGAAGTTCAAGTCGCCACACTCCGTGTAGCACGCGAAGCAAGAGAAGAAAGTACAAGAAAAGCATAATAGAAACAGTGAGCAGAGGTGTGAGACAAAGGAGTAATAAAGAAATACAAAACAGTTTCATTGAAGATCATAAGTCACAAGGAGTGGATGCATCTGCGCCACTGAGAACGGTTTTGAGCCATGTCACCAATTGTTTCCAACCATAGATTTTTACCGTCCCGAGGACCCCAGCCTGGAAGTCTACACCTTTCTACGTGGCTTAGACCAACCAACAAACAATCTAGAATAATATATTAGCTGATACAGCAGAGAATGTACAAAAAAGAAACTTCCCAGGGGAAAATTAATAAGTGAGTAGGGATATATCAGCTGAAACTAAACATTCATTTTCCACCAACAACTTGTAAGAATAACAACAGAAACATATATTCCTCAAATCACAGTATAACATCCTTTCATTGGATAACAATTACTGGAAGTCCCGTAAGATGTGTCTGACTGACTCGTTTCAACGTAAACATCTCCACAGATGTGCAGCAGTTCGAGTTGCCACACTCCCTCCTTGTACCACACTAAGCAAGAGAAGAGAGTAAAAAGAAGTTCAAAAGAGAGATAACAAACACAAGTATGAGGGAAGAAGAGTAGTGATATGAAAAAATGATAGAGCTTTATTGGTTATGACAAGTTACAGAGGACGAATGCATCATCTGTGCCATTCATTGAGAACGATTTTGAGCCATATTACCAAATGTCTCCAACCATTGGTTCTTACCATCTCTACGTGACTGGCTGGCTTAAACTAACTGTTGCGGATTTCATTGACTGATGCCATGTTTTCGTTTGACCACCACCAGCTCTTTTCCAACCTGATCCATCCTATGTCAGCTAACATCTCCCGTCGAGGAAAGCGATGGCTAGACATACGTAACACACGCCCCAGCAATCTCAATCGATGTACCTTCACAACCTCGTTGATTGATTTCCCCTCCTTACCTAGCACTCGACTGATGCCCAGCCTCGATATTCCTCATCCTATTATACCACCTAACATGGGAATTGGACACAGACACTTATGATCAAAGACAGCTAGCCTTTCCATATCTTCCACTTTCAATGGCCTTGGAGCCAACTGCTGAGCAGTGTACACGTCTTGTGGTCGACAGCCGGATATGACGTCTGCTCCAGGAGTGGGTAAGTTGGCAGACAAATACCAAACGAGCCATCTTTCTCCGTGATGCGATGTCGTCAGTAATCAACGCGCTGAGAATAGGTGAAGCAACTTCCGAGAAAAATGAAGTAGTCAACACGCTCTAACACTTTACTTCGTATTTCTAAGCTAGGAGTCGATGTAGTCCATATTTTTAAGGATGAATAATATGTAATCAACTGACATTAGGCGACAACATCATAACAACCTTATCAGGAAATAATCTGTTGTGTGGAATATATACTTGCAAGACTCAAAATTATCAAATATTTTTTATTGAATTTTCAAAAGAACAGATATTAGTATACACGAAATTTTGTACATGAGAAGCCTCTGGAGTTAACATATAATGAGTGAGGATGTATACATTTCTGTTAATCACACCTATTATGGCGTTTAGTTCAAAATTATCCTAAAGAACTGCGTCTTTATTTGACGAGACAATGCCATTAAAGAAGTCAAATAATACCGTAAGTTTTAAAATTTCATGTAAAGAATTGCAAAACTATATATCCACAACGGAAAACTCAGAGAGGCGTTTGGAGTAAACACAGGAGTCAGACAAGGGTGCTTACTATCACCAATGATATTCCTTATTGTGGTGGACTGGATTATGCGTCAGACTGTGGGAAACGAGAAGACAGGAATATCCTGGAGCGACGTGAAGGACCTAGAAGACCTGGATTTCGCGGACGATTTATGTTTGATGTCACACAAAATCGAAGACTTACAAGCGAAGACCGACAAACTGGTCGAAGAAGCAGCCGGTGAAGACAGGACTCCAGGTGAACATAGACAAGACGGAGGTGATGAAAATAACCAACCAACAACAACAGCAGCAACATCCAGCGTCAATCACCATCAACGGGAGGGATTTGAAAGAGGTTACTTCATTCACTTATCTAGGGAGCGTTGTCTCAACTACAGGAAGTCGGAACGGACGAGGATGTCAAATCAAGAATCGGGAAGGCGAGAAACACATTCATCAACCTGAAACCAATCTGGAAATCTTCGTCGTCACTCAGCATCAACAACAAATTCGGATCTTCAATAAAAACGTCAAGTCAGTTCTTCTATACGGATCAGAAACTTGGCGGGCGAGTCACAAAGAATATTTCCAACAGCCTGTTGAAGACCTTTATCAACCAACAACTGTCTTCGCTCTATACTGAAGATCAGATGCCCGGGTCGGAAAGAATCACCAACAAGGAACTATGGGAACAAACAAAACAAGAACCAATCGCCAACCAACAAATATGCAGGAGAAAGTGGCGATGGATTGGATACTCACTCACTGAGGAGGCCACTGAGTGACATCGCGCGCAATGCAGGCCATTGCTCGAGTGGAACCCGAAAGGGAAGCGGCGTGTGGGACGTCCAAGGGTGACGTGGAGATCGTGTGAAGAGGAGTTGAAAGAGTATGGACTAACATGGATGCAGGTGAAAAGTACAGCAGAAGACAAAAGCAAATGGAGACGTGCAGTTGAAGCCCTATGTTCCACTAGGAACCCAAGGGAGCAATAATAACACTGTGAATTCTACCACGTTTGTCATAATTTCAGATAATTTTACAGGCAAATGTCATCACAGGAAATAGCTATTAGCACCAGGGCTGATGAGGAATCGGGCTACTAAACTTCATGGGATAAGTAATGTTTGTGGAAGAGGATAGAACAGTTGCTAAAGTATGATTGAACAAGAATATTCTCCTGTCTTTCAGAAGTATTTTAAAGTGTCGTCAAAACACAATTACTTATCACTTTTAAACTTGAACCAATTGTTTTAAGGCATTAAATAAATCAAATTTTTTTTCTAATCCCTGTAAGATTCATTCTTTTATGTATAAAGGTCATTTACTATAAACAAATGGTTCACTAATTTTTAATGAGCAAACTGCTTGACTTTAAAAGATAATTACAAGAGGTTGAAAATGTAGTCTCAATCCAAATGAAAATTTAACATATTCTTAACACGAAGAGCTCATTATGCAAAAGAGATTCGCAGATAGTAACCGTGTTAGTATTTTGGAATCAGAATATGGAAAACAAATTTAATGAAATGTACATAAAATGGTGAAACGAAAAGTGGTTTTTAGGTAAAATATATGTCTCAATATGTATATATATATATACAAAAAAGGAAATGAATTTCAAGCAGTAATGATATTAACGTGCAAGCAAACACTAGACATCCAAATTTTCTAACGAAGGTTTAGATATCTAGCCCTCCTCAGGAATTGTGTGCCTTTATATACTTTCCAAGGGTGAGATGGGGGGGGTGAGAATTATTTGCCAAAAGAAAATTATACTTCACTAGTATGGTGAATATTGATCGTTTCGCGTCACGTTAAAATAACTCTGAAATATTGAAGGTTTTTCATTATAACTTCATTGTTTCTATAATAATTATTGTCAAACTTGTAGAAATTGTCAAATTAAAGTCATTTTTGTTGAAGACATACAGTGTAAAAATATATAAGCATGCAAATGGAGAATAAATAGACAGATATTGATTTGGACAATATCGATAAACTGTACAAACGTCAAACAAAATAATTTTCGAAAAGAAATACCATAACCAAAAACCAAAGGAATTTTTCACAGGTATATAGCATAGTCAAACGATAAAGAACAAAGAACATCCCTTAAATGGAAAAAGGAACTTCAGAGAAAGATCACTTCAGTCTAAAAGCAAAAAACATCTAAACTCCAACGAAAAAAATTTAAGAAAATCTATACAGGATTTAGTAACCTTAGTACAACAAACAGGACTGATTTCATTGGAATTTTAAAATGGTGAAGTCAGAAACTTGTCAATAACGGTAAACAAAAGAAAATGAATCGTAGAGAATATACCTGAGAAAAGTCAACAGGCACCAATGCAAATACTGTCTGTTAACAACCACCTGTACTTATAGGAAGGATAATTCTAATACATTATCTCCAATCTATGCCTACAACAATCACTGTCATGTCAAAATGAATGCTGTTTCACTGACCATCTCAGAAATGAACCTTTTTGAGAAGTCGCTATTTATGGAGTCAAAAGTTTACGGAATTAAGGTAGACAGCATTCATAAACAGTAGGTAAAAGGTATGTTACTTTCTTAACTAAGAAAAATTTAATACATATGCTTACTTTTAAAATAAAGCATTTGTTTCAGTTTTAGTCACCAGACGAAACTAGAGAGAATTTGCCGGGTTTTGGTATTTTTTTCTTTTAACGTTTATCCTTAGTGAGTTTCAACATTTTTAAATGAATGTTTGTCAATTCGATTGACCTATTTGAAATATTAACTTATAAGATGTGAAGTCCACACTTGTAAGCAATACAGATAGTACTTTTTATTCATGGATAAACAAAATTAATCAAGACTGAACTATGATTTGCATTAGGAAAAAGGAGTAATTTCACTAATTAAGGTCTTAAAGTTAGACGTCAATGAATGGAAACCTCTTCATCTTGGAGAGTTTTTGATTAATGCAACAATGAACCTTCTATACCATATTATATCTAAGTTCTTACTGTTGTGCAAATAAACTCTGAATAATCTATTTTATTTGTGATGCCTTTGTTTAGTGGTGTTAACTTATAAACGAATAACGCGGTGTCGTTATAAAAACTCTTGGTAACTCTTTCTCAACCTACCGTAAATTCAAGTCACGTAAGGTGTTGCATCCACTAGTACGTAGTTTTTTTTCCAATGATACTATTACATAGGTGGAAAGTACAAGTACTACTCCAACTACGCTAAAACCATATATTCTAATGGTGTGGAATATCTCGTTGTAAAAGGATTTGCCAATTCATGATTTTAATCAAATTGGTTTAAATCACTTTATACCCTACTGGTCAGTATACTTTAGTATATTTAAACAAGTGTTTAAATTCTTGTTTAAATAGATATCGTAATTGTTTGAAGTCGCAATTGAATTTCGTATTAATTTATCATGGTTTGCTTTTCTTTTCAGATTTTTTTTATTCTACTGGCATCATCTATCAAGTGACAATTTAATAGGCACGAAATTTTAGGAGTGTCTTAAATAAAGCACACAGCAGGAATATAAACGTAAGTGTATTTCATTTGGGAAAAAATGACAAACTAGCAGTCCCATATGAAACAACAAACAGTTGTCTCGTTACTTACACGTATCACATAGTGTAAGTACCAATTTCAGAACAATTAAAAGCTTTGAATTTTTTATATGATCGCGTTCCTAACACTATAGTGCTATGCTGCATTTATCTCTTTATCTCTTATCTTACTAGGTTCAGTGAAGTTTATGTGAGCTGATGTTGAAATCCAAATCGGCTCAGTGATCTGTCTTCTCAATGACATCATAAAAATCCACAGGTGGTTACCTTCTCTTTAAACAACAGAGTTACTGAGAAATCAATTTATAAGCTTATATCCTGCAAAAGATTTAATCCTGATAAGAAACTTATGCGGATTTTCCATACTCACAGTGTGTGTACATCATAACCAGGATCTAATTATCGTATTAGCCAACTCAGTAGTATTTCACTTTCGTATCAGTAGAGGTAAATTTGACTGACATAGAAAGCTCTATGCGAAAAACACTCAGACAGCAATAAAAATACAAGAATGTTAAATACATTTAGCCAAACGTTTTAATCGTATTTACATCAATGTAGTAGGTAACTCACTAAAATGAAGTTATACATCGTATACAGTACAATCATTAGACGATCGTTTCCAACTTCAGGTAGTCCATTTTGATCAGAAGGGTCATACAAAGGTATGAGATCATAAGAAGACTCCATTTCTGCTCGACTTGAACCAATAGACATAAGCTTTTCTATCCCTTGATTGGTTGGTTTTTCAAAATCTTTATTTGCACGATTTCCGCCTAAATAATTAAGGTGACATAAAATCCTCAATTTACGAAATATAAAATGATACGCCGAGCAATAATGTTTATAAGTGAGGAAATTTTTACTAAGGTAGTACAATACGGTTATTAAATGATAATGCAAGAAATTCTTAAGCATATATAGTTACTTCGATAGATATGATAATCATATTTACTTACGCTTTCCCACAGCGAGGCAACTCAACCTCACCAAAATTTGAGGCATGAATGTACTGATTATATTATGCACTAATTCCATAAAAACAGATCTGGCACTTTCCGTTTCCTCTTTGCACATAATACGCCACTTATCCCTCCCATAATTATACTAAAATGAGGAAAATGAAGGCGGGACACTAAATGTTCGGTGAATGTGATAACAAGGTGTTATGAAACTCTAAATATTACACAAAGAAATTTAGCGAAAACCATAATTTACCACTTTCTTCAGAATAAAGATGAAGAGAAAATAAAGGTCATATGGCACTGACATATTCGCTTGACAAACATTCTTAGAGGACCCTTCATATAATCGACATGAAAGTGTTGGAATGGATGTAAAGTCCATTACACAACTGATGTCGTCTTATTCTAGGTCTCTGCCATGACAGATCTCAATTTTTCTATCATTCCAAAAGTAAAACTCATATAAAAACATAAAGGACAGAGCCTTTGAAACGCTATAAACAGTAGTATGCTTGTAGGCAAAAACTGAACGATAATAAGTCAGCAATGGTTATAGGAGAACTATAATACCTCTTACGGACTTAGTACACTTTATTTGATGGCACAGTGTTTGGGACTCTCGACGACCATGCACATGGTCCAGGGTTCGATCCCCTGCCGACGCACACCTAATATCTATGGTTGGCCTGCAAAATTTGGGCTACCGATATCACATGCTGAAAATTCCATACTTGTACCGAAAATACAGTATGGAATAAAGCTGTAATCAAAAATTAAAAAAATAAATAAATTATTTAAGCTACTTATAAGTAGAATCAAACGACTTCTAGGAAATATAGAACAGTAAGTATACCGATGATACGACAAATTTTACAAAACAAAGATCAGTATTACCTTCAACTGCCATCTGGACGGCTTGAAACACGAGAAAAAAGTAACTTCCCAGAAACCCATTCGGGACCTTTGCTAAGTAAAAGCGATTTAAGTCGTCTTGCACATGCCACAGGAGTTTTCAAATAGTGTAGCTGAAGTGAAATTAAGAGAAATTAACATTTAAGATGACTAACAACACTGTACATAAAAACACCCTTGAGGGGTACGTGCATTAATGAATCTTGAAGTCATGAGTTTATGTACTGGAATCCGGGAGTGAATACGCAGAACTAAAAATCTTAAAATGAAGTCTCTGTCGAACATACATAGAGAACGTTTGAAACAAATATTTAGCACGTCATTTGTGAGTTGTTTTTCCCATTTAATTATTAGTGCTAGATAAATCACACAGATACTGAGGTGAAAAAAAGCAACATTTCACAACATATGTACTTCATTATGGACACAGTGGTAAAGTAACTGTATTGTGTAAGATAATGACTTTGCATTTTTTTTAATTGCTTTACGTTCCTAGTGGAACATAGGACTTGAAGCTAGAGGCTTGAAGTTTCGGCAGCAGTAGTGTTTATTTTTACAGGATGGGGTTGCTAGCCTCATGCCCAACCTTCCCTCTTTACCAGTCTTACTGCTGGCTTAGCGAAGTAAAGGAGTGCGTAGGCCGGGGATCGAACCCCAGACCACCTGTGTGGTCGGCGAGCAGTCTGCCGCTGTGTCACCGACCCACAATGACTTTGCATTTAAATGGAATTAATTCATGCGGCATATGCAAGAAATCAATAAGGAACCCTAATACGATCAAGAGTGGGGCATCATGAAGCTGGATAGCATCACAAGCCTTCACACAATCTGTGTGGATCATAGGCCGGTACGTGAAAAATCAGCCCAAAATAAGTGAGTTTATTTGAAGACTGATAAGTTAATAATTTAATGAAATACTACAAAACTCTACCGAAGGTATATGCAGAAATAAGGAAAATGAAGGTATATACCATACAGAGCACCAAGACAGCAAAGAACAAATATTTACCAACATTCAAAAAGATTATAACCGTTTACCTGAGGTATATAACGATGAAGTACATCACGAACGAATGTGTAAGGCGCTGTAATGTATTCTCTACGCGTTTCACCAGCTATCAGTACAGAAGCGATTCGACAAGTGAAAAGCTGCAAATATAAGATATGACGTATATATTCAAAGTACTAAAATGATATTAACAATTTTAAAACTAAATAGGTACCAATATTTGGTTGTATTTTTCTAGCATCACAATTTCGTTTATTATACTTGTTGATGCCTGTTTCATGGCTCATGATTGGACAAAGTTTCAAAAACAAGAAACGTTCCTTTTATATATAAACCTCTATTATGTTAATTTCGATTAATTTCCCTGAAGATGTTCGGACCAGATTGCCGAACGAAACGTTGGAATTACTCACTTCAATCTCGCTGTGATTTTACAAATATAATTTTTTACAAATGTCTACTTCTCACTCGGCGCCCAAATATTTTAGAACTATTCTGTCAAATCTTGACGACAGTTCATTTGAATAAAGTCTTATTAGTTTAACTTAATAACTATTGATTCACATCTTTTGATAATTCAACAACTGAATCCCTAATTTAATTAAATAAATGAGAAAGCAGATGCAATTTTAGCACACACGACTCACCAAACGATCTTCCAATTTAGTCCAGCAACAGCGAGGAGCACGAAGATACAGATCATCTAGTAATGGTTAGGAGAAAACAGATGTTAGGTGAAAACAAAAAACAACAGTGTAAAAATTATGAAAATAATAGTAAAAATGGGGACGGACAGATTTTATGGGTGTTGAGGTTTCTTCACAAAGGACACGTGAAATAGTCGGTTCCTCACTTGGAGTTAGTGTAGATAAAAACTAAAACACCATCTCAAATATGACAGAAATGAAATGTATGCTAAATATATTCATATTTTTGTAACAGTGTTTAGAAGAATGGATTTCATCAGTCTTCACCGAACAGAAAATAATAGTCTGGTGGATGTTTTCCTAGTAGAAAATCAATTGCTAAGAATTTCAAATCAAGTAAAATCACCTCTATCAATAAGTATATAATGAAATTTACTAAACCTGGTGACACCAGATATTACTCATTGGGGCCAGCAAATGCTATCGTAATCAATGAAAAATCTCTGTTAAGCTCCTACATAACTATATGAATTCGAGTAGAACGTCTTAACTGAGATAACACAACTTCTTGGTATATTCTTTCCACATAGTCAGTACCACAGCAACTCTTGAGGATCAGAGTGGATACACATTCACATGCTTCGGAATATGAAAAATGTAAGGTACCAGAATATACACAAAGACATATTATCAAAGGATGGGAACTTGATTGTTGTATCTTCTTGTTCAATTAAAATCCGCCTCATTTTCTCGAGTTTGCTCTTTCCTAGCTTAAATTAGCCTTCGGATGACCATAAACATTAGAATGTTATGTATAGTAGTCAAGATGTTCCCTCTGCGAATGCCCCAGAAAGATGTGTGCCTATTTTTGTGAGCTTAAGAGATCAACAATCTAGACTAATCCATGAATTATAAAACGAACTGTCTAGCACATTAGTTAGTATTCATAATAATTTAGCAACACTAACACGAAACACTTATAATGCAAACCACTGAGATCTTGGTGCTTAACACCATCGTATATAGGAGACAACATTTGACGCTTCAGCTGAAGTTCAAGGATCCATATCAAATTTCCATTCAGTTGTTACTGGATAGTGAGCTACGGAAGTGTAGTTTATGGACAAGCTAGACTATTGCTCTAAGTGTTCTACAAAAAGTTTAAGCCATCTACAGTGAGAAATTAAAGGGCTATGTTTCATAACTTTCATCAGCCAAATCCTGTAATAATAATTAGACCGTCAACAGTCCATGACTGCTTCTACTTCATCATGCACCACTGGTTGTGGTCATTATGAGGATTAGTAGTCGATTTGTTTAATAATACCTTTATCATCACGTTATGTTCAAAGCTAGTAGGTAGACAAGCTGCACTAGGATACGACTGGTTTTTGATAACCATTGGTCACAAGTTTCTGCGGCAGGCTGTATGCAGCACCAAGTTTTTTATAATCGAAACTAACAAACTATTAATGTATTTCCCCGTTAAATGTATCGATATATTTGACAGGAATATGCATTTTCGCTCCAGGAATCATATTTGGGTGAAGTGAAAAAAACAATAAAACTTACATGGACCTGATTGAGCATAGCCTGCTTTCTCTACAAAGAAAAACATTTGTTTATGAAGGTGCAGAAAAATAACAGTGCTGATAGTAAGGTTCAAATAATAAAGTTGTTTGCATTAATGAGTGGAAATGTTTTTAAAAACATAATATGACCTCAGTCTGTCTGTGAAAACTACAGGAACTATATATATACTGGCATATGCACAGTTTTATGAGCTGTAACGTCTATTATTCTCACCGGCTTGCACTGAAACTGAGTTTAAACATGCGACAAACCTATGAAAAGCGTTGCACCTATGGTAGTGTTCGGCCGAAAACTGCTACCTTGCTGTGGTGGTCGGACTTGAATATCACAGTGACCCAACAAGTTAAACTGGCTGGGACTCATGTCCCTGCAGGTTCTACCATGTCAGGAAGGTTGTTTGGATAGCGGTTAGAATAAAAGCAGTTACCACGGGGTACATGGGCTCCAAAATCCAATGGGACCAAATGGCGTATGAACACATATGAGTCACCGGCAGCCATGGGAATGTAGTTCCTGATGCTGCTCCGCTGCCTTGCGGATTAGACTCGAAGTCAAAAGCTCGGGGAGTGGTCCCTTAATAAAACCACCTGCTTCTGTCTGGGCGCCCGAGCAATACCTCAGCCCTCACACAAGAAATGAAGTGAAACAACAAACTATTATTGAAACTCTCCGCGCACTCGAAAAAAATTATTTCAAGTAATAACGAAACCTCAAGCAACTTATGTCCTTTCAACCTTACTTTCATTTTTATACTTAGATTCCTGTATTTTACCTATGCTAACCTTGACTTCTCAACCTTCGACAGCCTTTCGCCTTTGTCTGGATTCCCAGTCTATCTGTGTAGTTTGGAGGTGTTGGTGAGTAACCCTTAAAATGGTTGTCCCCAATGAGACATCTAACACAGATATCCTGAAACCACGTGCCGCGTTCAAGCTGGCCACCTAAAATGTTCGGACGCTGATGCAAATTGGACAACAGGCAGGGTTGGTAGGAACTTTGGAAAACCTTGCTATCGATGTCTGCTGCATTATGGAGACCCACATTCAAGATCCCAGTGAATTGCTTCGATTATCCGTTCCATGTGGAAATTCTAGCAGTATGTACCACTTGCGCTTGTTCGGGGACGCTGTGGCTTCAGCATCCGGCATAGCTGGTGTCGGTGTCGCACTGAGCACTAGAGCGGAAGCCGTATTGCTCGACTGGATTCCCATCAACAGTCGTTTATGTGCTGTGAGGCTGAAAGGTTATACAAAAGTAAGGAGTAGTAGGCCAGATAGGCGGTGTCTGTTTGTTGTCTCTGCCTATACACCGACGGATTGCAGCCCGGATGCAATGAAGGATGAGTTCTACTACCAACTGAGCGATCTCTTGAAACAGACGGGTCGAAGGGATATCGTAGTGCTAGCTGGGGACTTGAATGCACAGGTCGAGCGTCTAAGCTCAGAGGAGAATCGTCTAGGTGGTCAGATAATGGGGACCGTCTTCTGCAGCTTCGCGCTGGTCACAACCTATTTCTAGCCAGCACCAACTTCCGGCACAGCCATCGCCGTAGCGCTACCTGGCGTCCTCCCTCTGCGAATCAAGCTTGGACTCGGATTGATCATATTGCTGTCAGTTTCCAGTGGCGAGGATGCATACAAGACTGTCGCTCCTTCTAGAGCACATGCCTGGATTCCGATCATGCGTTAGTGTGTTGCAAGTTCGTCTTACGATTTTGTGGGGTTCATAAAAGCTGTCGTCTAAACGTTGATATGAGCAAACTAGTAGCACCTGCTACTTCTTTGAAATATCAAAAGAGTTACAATCAATGAATGCCAGCAAATCCCCCAAGTGGTATAAATGAACATTGGCTTCATCTCCAAGGTGCCATTAAAAGAGCGAGTTTAGCCGCTTGCGGCTTGAATGAATGCTCCTATAAAAACCATGGGTTTTCTACGAGTTCTTTGCAACTTCTGGATGAACGCCGGTCCATTCCAGCTAGCAGCGAATACAACAATAAGCAAGAGGCGCGAAGAGCAGGGTGGGTTTCGTTCAGGTGGTGGATGCATTGATCTTGTGTCCACCCTTCGTCAGTTGTTGGAACACCGCCACACGTATTGCATGCCAACGATCGTTGTGTTTCTTGATATTAGGACCGCCTACGATTCGTTGGACAGAACTGTGCTCTGGAACTGCCTGTTTGAGAGAAGTGTACCTGAGAAATTTGTTAACATCTTGAAAGCCCTATACAGAAACACCTCAGGTAGAGTGAGGACATACAACCAACTATCATCACTGTTCCCAACCAACAGTGGGGTTAGACAGGGTTTCCCAATCTCTCCATTTCTCTTTAACTTTGCCATCGATGACATTCTGAAGTCAGATCTGAAGGATGTGCGTGAAGGTGGTGTAGATCTGCTACCTGGAGGTAGACTTCCGACCTCGAGTATGCAGACGATATCGTCTTACTGTGCGATAGCATGCAGGCTGCCCGAATCGCACTTAATCAGTTGGCGATCATTGTCTGTATGTATGGTATGTGCTTTGCGCCGTCTAAGTGCAAAGTACTGTTACAAGATTGGCAGGAGCCTGTACCTGCACTCACTCTTGCGGGTGAACCGCTTGAAGTTGTTGATAAGTTTGTGTATCTGGGTAGCTGTGTGAGTGCTGGCAGAGGGGTGACGGATGAGATTCCTAATCGTATAATGAAGGCTGGGGTGGCATACATCAACTTGAGCCACCTATGGCGCCGTCATGATGTTAGCCTGGTTGTCAAAGGTCGGGTATACAATACTTCGGTGCGGGCTGTCTTGCTTTACGACTGTGAAATCTGGCCTCTCCGAGCTGAGGATGTTCGGCGACTCTGTGTGTTCAATCATCGCTGTCTCCACAGGATTGCTTGCGTTTGATGGCCAAGAATCGTAATCAATGGCGAACGTGTTGCAATTTCCTCCTTTCTTCCCTTCCCGATGATAGTTAACGAATACTGTTTGAACTTGTTACGCATGACTGTTTTCCTTCCAGATGAAGTTCTTTATCCGTTCTCTACTTATATTTTTACGTTTAATCTTTGTTGTTTTATTATTATTGTGTGGCGCATCCTTCTTCGTTCCATATTGTACCAAGTCTTTTTATGAGTTTAAATAAATAATAATAAATAAATAAAGGTTTATAAGATTCTTGCTATTGATTGGTTCAGAACTCCAATGTAAACTTTTTGAAACCGGGTGCACAAAAAGTGTAAAGTGCCACCTTAAAATCAGGCCAAACTTAATTTTATCAATATGTTTTCAATTTAGCTTTTTTAGCACCAATGGTAGTAACTATCCTACACCTTAGATTCCCTAACGCTATTCCTTACCTACTGATTTAACCTTTACTAAGTTAATGTTCTATTTCTTAGATAAAGTCAGAAGTTATGTCCTTATGTACAGATGTTGAAATTAGTTTCGGTCGTTATCACAACAGCAAACGGCTTCTACTGATAATCAACCATCCTCAACGGCTTCCTTTGTTAGGGGAGTATCTATGAGATTGTCGGCAATGCATTCTTTGGCTGCATGCAGTTTACAATGCCAAGGTAGCATGAAGTATTAAAAGATTTTCTAAATCCCTTGAGCTGAGAAAAATAATACGCCGATCTGTAGATGGCCGTTAACTTTTATAACAAGTTGAAAATAAAGAAGGGACACTTTATAAGACTGTATCACTTGCTAAATGAGTGACTATTAGATATATACATGACAAAAGTATAAGCGTATATCATATTGGTAAAGAACCGCAGTTATACTGTAGTGAGAGCAGGCTAGCCAAAAAGGTAGATAAAATTTTACGTCAATGGGCGTCGCAAATATTGGTGGTGAGAAAATATGAACAACACTGATTCAACAACCAATTACAGCAGACTTGGCGTACAGATTATCTGACATTCAAGAAACAGTCACAAAGAGATGCAAAGTCAACTTTCTGTAAAAAACAACCAATCAGAAGACTGTGTTTGTCTGCTTGAATGAGCAATAATAATGTACATGAAATACATATAAATACGTGTTGATTTCCTTAATAAACGATCTGTTGCCTGACTCTTGTCTTTTGTCGTTACAATAGTAATAATGACGAGTTTGTATCTTTAATAATTATTCACTTACTTCCGCATTGTTTTAAAATTCCACGAATTCGACGAACAACAACTTCCAAAAAAATAAAAAGAAAACAATATTGACGGTAATCGAGATGGAGCCGATACATCAGGCAAATAATATGAAATTGCTTCGAAATCCGTTTGATAAGTGCGCATACACAGTAAAATTACCGAAATACATATGTGTTTCAAAACATTCTATCAACTATGTACATCAAAATGTGAACCAGAGAACTGGCTATGATTACTTTATCACCTCTGTTCAAATATACAATATTTACATCCAGAAGACCAAGAAGAAGTATTCGCCTCCAAAAATGTGCTTATAAGACAAATAAATGTCACACAAGATTAAAAGTAGCTTGCAACTGTTTCATATATATTAGATATAAGCTCTTCTCAAATAAACGAACTGTAACCATTACCGAGTTTATAGTAAATCCAAAATACTGCTTAAAACCTTAATGAGCCTTCTATAAACCTAGACTCGAAAATCACAAAAATGGTAACCGCTGATATTCACTAACTGAAACACATCAACCCATTTAAATAGGTACGACTATACGGTGAGTTGGGATCACTCAGTTAGACAGACTATCTTCAGTACCAGAGATCCTCGTAGACGACGTATACACAACAGTTATGGCTTCAACCTCGTCCCAATGGCTTTATAATACGCCTTAATGAGATTAATTACACCAGTATCGATCATTGTGTCAGCAATGAAAGAGATTAAGTTCGGTCGTTCTCCTCCTGAATTTCGAAGTGTTTGATGCACATCTCCACTTGCAGTTTTCGTAATTTAATTTGATCCAGTGAATTAGAAATTATCGATTCTTTTAAAAGAACTCACAACAAAAATCAACATAATGCACAACTCTTTCCATCAGCCTTTTTGTTTATTTTCATACTGCACAAGTTAACGAGGTATGAGATCACTGGTCGTCAAATTTATTTGCCGATAATTAAACTGTTAAAATACCTCCCATATATACACTTATTAAGACTCAATCGAATGCTATCTTCGAACACATTGAATAAATATTATCAGTGAAGGATTCTGTTTATATACTCTTCATGGGTATCTTCAATTTTACTTATTCAGACCTACTGATATGACTCACTGACTTAGGCGCTTCACTTTCAGACAATCAGCCAATGGTTTGAATCCCACGCCACTACACCAGCCAAGATAGCTCTTACACAACAAGTGTGATTCATAACCACAGCTCCAACTAGCTTCAGCGTATATGAACTGTCATAAATAACGACTTTGTTTTGTTTGTGTTAAACACAGGACAGAATAAAAATAAGTTGAAAAATAAAACGACGACCGAATTTTTCACCAAAAAATAACAAGTGACGCAGCATTACTTGAATGTTACCTGTTTGACGAGGAGTAAAACTGGATGATACGTGTGACGATAACCGATTGATAACATTTTCCTTATTTTCAAATGAGGAAAACTCTTTTTGCAAGCGTTGATTGGTACTTCGATGACTCACTGAGGTATCTAATAAATTTTGCTGACGAATATCCTTCAAGATACTATCAGTATCTCGGGATTCTGCTCCCTGATCAATATCATCTGATAGTGAATCCATTTCATGCATTCCACTTTTCTTGGTAGAATCATCCTCATAAAAGCTGGATCGATTAATCCTTGCAGAACGGCGGCAAACTGACCGTCTATTGACCACTTGCGGTGTATCAACAAATTTTAAAATCGTGGGAACATCAAGGTCTATAGAAGAAATATGAAAATTAACAACCCAATTCATGAATGATAATGATCATTTACATTACCCCAAATTGAATAATCTTCTTAATATCGAAATTAAGTGAACTAAGTGAGCTAATTGTCGAACATTCTATTAGGAACTGTGACTAACACACATGAGAATAGAAACTAAAAGTTGTTAGCTTGTAATCAAAATGTCTTGTTACATCAAAGCTACTACATGATATCTCTGAATGGTTGACTGTATAAACGTTTTAGGATAATAATAATAATAAAGTTGAAGGGAAAGATAATTTCAAGAGGCAATAGTGAGGTTTTGTACGCTTGATAACGAAATAAACAAAGTATAATATCGACTTACAGTGGACCTAGAATCTTTGCACTGCATAAGTACTCCTGAAACAGACAATTATATTAGATAAGAGAAACAAACCGGTACTCATCTTAATAAGAAGGGGACAGTTTTCCTAACAGTCTAAGCGTATGTCCAAAGGAAGTTTAAATCACCAAATCAAACTGATGATAAATGGTACCAACTGTTTGATCACCTTAACGGTTTATCAAAACATGTCAATTATGAAGGCGACTGTTAACTGATGTGGCGATACGTGATTATAAATCAGTTGAAGAAACATTTCTCAGATACTATTAACACCTGAGCGCAGATGAAGCAAAATGAAACTTAATTATGAGTGACTGTGTTACCCAATCACAATACGCAATATTATAAATAAAGTTCAAAATAGTATAGAGGAATAATACAAACATTATAAGTTGACTTATTAACAAATATAAAACTAACCAGCAAACAAACTAGGAAGCCAGGGCCAGAAAGGTTCATCAGTAGGAGCATTAAACCCGCAAGTATCATCCATACCGGTAAATTCTCCCAAAAGATTTAAGAGACGTTCACCATCATTTTTACGTTTAGATTTACTGCGTGTTGAACCCCAATTACGAACGTTATAAGTACAATCAGTAGGATGATACCCACAAGCACCACATGGAAATACTTCTGTACCATCTGACAAAACGTTTCTAAACTTAGACGAAATGTTTTCTGACCAGTTCAAATTAATTAATGCACCGTCATCCACAGGTTGAGTAGATATTCTTGGTGTTAATGGTGGCAGAAGCTCTGAATCTATTTCATCTTTGCAAGAATTATGACCTACAAATGGAAATCAGTAGACGATAAAAAACATACACGCAGACGACCAGCACATTTTAGCGAAAATGAGTATACGAGTTAGTTAGATGCAAGAAATAATTTTAAATCATTATAACCGCTCAATTATTTGGATTGTATAAGTGAGTAATAATTACGAAAATCATTAGTGTAAAACATAAACACTTTACAAATGAGCGAATATACTGACAAAAATCAAACTGCAAACATATCTTTCATCAGTACCCTTAGTTTACATAAAGGCAGGTATAACAGAACAATGTCATACTGATCTTAACTATACCTCTGACGGACGAAAAGGAAAGGATAAAATGCAATCAGAAGCGAGATATCGTGCTACCTAATATGTAAAGTATCATGACTTCGTGGTTGCGTTCTCTAACCTCATAGTTTAATTGTAAAGCTTTTGTTTTCTTTCTAGACAACAGTCTCCGAAGACAACCAATCATGCTTGAATGCATCAGGATAGATGGTTACTATATTCTGTCTGTCAGTTATCGACATAGAACTTTGCACAAATGTGCGGAAGTTCAGGTCGCCACACTCCCTTTGTAGCACACAAAGCAAGAGAAGAAAGTACAAAAAATGCATAATAGAGACCGTAAGCAGAGGTGTGAGACAAAGGAAGAGTAATGACGAAGAACAAAACAGTTTCATTGGAAATCATAAGTCACAAGGAGTGGATGCATCCGCGTAATTGAGAACGATTTTGAACCGTATCACCAATTCTTTCCAACCATTGTTGTTTACCGTTCCGAGGACCACAACCAGGAAGTCTACACCTTCCTACGTGGCTTAAACTAACTGTTGTAGATTTCATTGACTAGTGGAGCCATGTTTTGGTTTGACCGCCGCTAGCTCCTTTTCAGCCTGACCCTATGTCAGGTAACATTGCCCGTTATAGAGGAAGGCGACGACTAAGCATAAGTAACACATGTCCTAACCATCTCAGTCGATGTAACTTCACAACCTCGTCGATTGATTTCCCCTCCTTACCTAGAACTCGACGCCTAACCTATCTTTTCACACTGTCTTCCACTCAGTGGCCAGGTCTCACAACCATAAAGGAGGACGGAGCGGACTGATGAGCAGTACACCCGCCCTTTGGTCGATAGTCGAACATCTCGTCTACGCCAGAGACGGCGTAAACTGGCAAATGCGAAACGAGCCCTCTGTATCCGTGCTGAGATTTCGTCAGAGATCAACCCGTTGGGGCTGATGGTACTTCCCAAATAAGTGAAGCGGTCAACGTGCTCTACCACTTCACTTCCTATTTGTAATCTAGGAGTCGGTGTAATCCAGTCCTGTAACATCATCTTGCATTTGGCGGGAGCGAATCGCATGCCAAACATTCGTAGATTGCAGCTCAAGGTGTTTAGAAGACTCTGCATTTTGTCAGCGTCCTCGCCTAGAAGGACTATATCGTCTGCATATTCTAAGTCAACGAGATTATTCCCTGGTGGTAACAAGTCAATCCCTGAGTCGCTGAAGTGAGTTAGGGTTAAGTCCATTAGTACATCTATGATGAAGTTGAATAGAAAAAGGGATAATGGGCATCCTTGACGGACACCACTAGTCGTCACCAGTTCAGATGACAACTCACCGTAAGCCCTCACCTGGCTGTATGAGTACGAGTAGAGTGCCTTAATCAGTGCAATATATTTTCTTGGAATTCCCTTTACAGCCAAGCATCTCCAGAGAACCTCTCGGTCGACAGAATCGAATTCTGCCTTTAGGTCAAGAAATATAATGACTGTTGGACGCCGGTAGGAATGCCTATGTTCTAGAATCTGTCGGAGGGTGAAGATATGATCAATACACCCTCTTCCTGGTCTAAAGCCTGCCTGCTGGCTCTCTCGTGTTTGTGCCTCCCGAGCACCACTCAGTCTACGCATGATTATTGAGCCTAAGACTTTAGATACTATATTAGTCAAGCTAATCCCTCTGTGATTATCACAGGAAGACTTGTCTCCCTTCTTGTATATGGGGATAATCAGTGACTTACACCAACCCGATGGGACTTCTTCTGATTCCCAGACGCTGCCTAGTACCTCAGTTAATGCAGACAGTAAACTGTCTCCACCGTACTTAAATACCTCTGGAGTCATTCCATCAGGTCCCGCTGCTTTGCCTAGTTTCAGATTGGTGACAGCTTTAGTAACCTCAGTTAAGGATGGAGGACCTGTGTCTATATCCCATTCAGGGAGGTGTTGGATGTTCGGAAGGTTGAGCGTGGCTGTGGGCCAATTAAACTGCTCCTCATAATGCTCTTTCCAGCGATCCAGTCGTCTATCCTGGGAGCTAATTATAGTGCCATTTTTCTCCGAGATTGTTTCACTAATGATTTGTCTTCTCCCACCCGTTTCCCTGATGAGTCTAAATAGTTGCCTGGTGTTGCCTATCCTCGAAGCTTTCTCCATCTCTTTCGCTTTTGTCAGCCACCACTGTTCACGGTCCTTGCGGAGACTTTTCGTAAGTTTCCTTTTGTGCAGCTTTCGCTCCTCATTGAATTCGGAGCTCGCCGGAATAAGTCTTCTAGCATCTATCAGTTCGGATGAGGCGGTGGAGATCCAGTGGTTTTTACTCACCTTTGGATTTACCTTATTCACAGCTTTTACAGCTGTATCTATGGCTGACTGAATATTCTTCCAAGCTTCTTCAGGGTGAGCACAGCTGTCGAACTCAGATATGTGTTTAGCTAGTTCTTCCTCAAATAGGGATTTAGTTTCCTGATCGAGCTGGGGACGTGATGGGTTTACCGCCAGCTGTTTCCTACGTCCGTTCAGTCGTAAGCACACACGAGCGCGGACCAGTGCGTGATCGGTATCTACACACGTGTTCCAGAAGGAGCGACAATCTCCTACCGACCCACGCCAACGATAGCTTATTGCTATGTGGTCTATTTGTGTCCAGCGTTGGTTTGATGAAGGGGGTCTCCAAGTCAAACAGTGTCTCTCCTTGTGTTTGAAGTTAGTGCTTACAAGAAACAAATGATTATCTGAACAGAACTGTAGGAGACGGTCACCGTTGTCGGTTCGCTGGCACGGAACTCCATAGGTGCCACCGACATCCTTCTCAGATTGACACAATTTCCCTACTTGAGCATTAAAGTCACCAGCTAGAACGACTATATCTGAGCGTTTAGCCTTTCGCACCAAACTAGACAGCCTTTGGTAGAACTCATCCTTCGTTTCATCTGAACTGCAGTCAGTGGGGGCGTAGGCGGAGATTACGAAAAGGCATCGGCGAGTAGTGCAGTCCTTTCTCCTTTTTACTGACCCGTTCAGACGGACAGCACACATTCGGCTATCTACCGGGATCCAGTCGAGCAATGTCTTTTCTGCCCTTACTACATTACTAAGGAATGCCGAGAATTCATTTCGTTTTGAAGATGTTGTCTAGAAAATAAACAAAAGCCTCATAATTAAGCCATCCAGATGAGAAAATGCAATAACACAGAAAGCTTCCACTTGAGGTACGAATTATCTATCTCTATGATTTCTTAAGTAACATGTTAATACACCTACATCATCTTGTTTATCTTAAAATTAAGCTGTCAGCTATATTCATAGATTCGCGCTACTGAGAAACTTGAAAATGTCACACTTTCATATACTCTCTAATACATTTTGAATACAATAACCATCATATTTGAGTGGATAATATTAACAATACAAAGGCGTTAACAATTTTCATAATAATATTCTATTTTGTAAACCAGCGGTACTTCAAAATTTTAGTACATGAAATTTACCTGCATAATTAGATGATATATTAAAAATAAATTAGTGGAAGCGAAACAGGTTGAATGAAAAGGCTAAACACTAGTTTACAGGTCACGTAGGAGAAAGTGTCCTAAAGTATGTTTCCTCCTGACCCAACACTGAGTAATCTTGTCCCCTACTTTCAAGATGTCTCTTCACTAAGCCAAACACATTAGAAAATAATTCCAGGATACGGACACCAAATTGATGATGAACAACTAAATTAAAACAAGTAACAACATTGTTAAAATGTTTATGCCAGAAAACGAGACATCCTACGTTTGAGGACTGAGATGCAACCAGTTTTTAAGACACGTGAAGTAGTTAACAGATTGGAAGCTGAATTCCTATTCTAATTGGGCACAAATCCAAAGAATGATATGACATGTACAGAAACTTATTTTATCCTGCAAGACTTCTCGTTTTTCTCGAATTTATATTCAGTCGTATGACACTGGCACTATATAAATCCCAAGTGAGCAGTGTACGCATTAGTTCTAACAGACTACAAAACGAAAACTTACTATGATTACCAAACGTGAGATTATGGACTCAACCGTTAGAAACATATTAACGTATATTCTACAATGATGACTTCGGAATGGTTGAAAATAAGGGAATTATTAGTCACAAATCAGAAATTAACATAAAACACGTATTTACCAAGGGGAGTATTGCGGGCAATGGTTTCACAAGTCAACCAATAACTAGCAACATCGGCAACAGTTTGAAAGTCAAAATGTATAACTTCTGTACGTTCCAAACGAGTCAGAGTTTGATAAGCTGGATTAGCACAGCGAGTATCTAATAAGCTTGCCCGACGGTGAAGAAAACCAAGCATCTAAAAATGAATACAATTTAACACAATAAGAAACAAAATAAACATTTTAAACAGTTACTAAATTACAAAAGGATGACCTCCTCAACTTACACTTGTCTTAGCCTGAGAAACATTTTTCTGCTGCATAGTTACTAGACCAGTAACACCTGACAGATCTTCAATCATTGCAGAAACTGCTCTCAGCTTTTTGGAAGACAATAACCAATCATTAAGCAAACCTCGTGATCCTCCAGGTAGTTCAACGTATCGTAAGGGATATCGTAACAAATCTCTGAGAGGAATATCCTTTTGATTTATCATATTGGCATTGTGAAAACGTGCTAACTCTGCATCTAAATGCTCAATTTCTTCTCGATTTAGATCAGTTAACAAGTGATCGAGTTTAAGCCACCGACACAGTATGCGTGGCAGTGATGTGGTGATTGTAAGTCGTAAATATAAGCCGAAGGGAATGCCACGTAAAACTTCACTGATCAGAAACCAACCCTTGCTCATATCTACGAAGGAAGTAAACAAGTTAAAAAGTATAAACAAACTTAGTTACCGGTTAATACACAATGACAATATTGAAAATAATAGCCTTATTCACTTGGCATAAGCAAACAGAAAGGACTGTGTGATACGACCTAACTATTTACTGTAATAGTAATAATAGCAAGCATGGCATATAGTACCCCATTGAACAGACATCCGTTTAGACTCTCACATATAACAAGATTGGGAAAGAATCATAAAAGCAAGCACATGTTTTTACCTCTTAATGGCTCCAATGGAGCTACATATCTACGCCATGTGTCGTCATCACAATAGACTGGAGGTTCACTTTCAGACTAAAAGAGATAAGACGAGAAGAATCAATAAGAATGAAGATAAAAACAACAGTATAAATGTACACACAATTTACGAGGCTGAGAAACTGTATCCAATGAATGTGAGCAATAGGCTCCAGTTAAATCGAAAGAACAAACAGCAGGTGAGTAATTTCTAAACATATGACTCAGCATTTAGAAAGCATTTACTTAGCCTACTGAGTTACAGCTGCAAACTCAACAACGACAGTAGTCATCAACTAATTTTAAAAGCAATGCAAATATTGTCTCTGTCTGTCTGTTATCGACATAGAACTTTGCACAAATGTGCGGAAGTTCAAGTCGCCACATTCCGTGTAGCACGCGAAGCAAGAGAAGAAAGTACAAGAAAAGCATAATAGAAACAGTGAGCAGAGGTGTGAGACAAAGGAGTAATAAAGAAATACAAAACAATTTCATTGAAGATCATAAGTCACAGGGAGTGGATGCATCTGCGCCACTGAGAACGATTTTGAGCCATGTCACCAATTGTTTCCAACCATAGATTTTTACCGTCCCGAGGACCCCAGCCTGGAAGTCTACACCTTCCTACGTGGCTAAGACCAACTGTTGTGGATTTCATTGACTGATGCCAAGTTTTTGTTTGACCGCCGCTAGCTTTTTTCCAGCCTGACCCTATATCCGCTAACATAGCTCGTCGAGGGAGGCGATGGCTTGGCATACGTAACACATGTCCTAACCATCTCAGTCTTTGTAGCTTCACGACTTCGTCGATTGATTTCCCCTGTTTACCTAGAACTCTACGCCTAACCTCCATGTTGCTCACCTTATTATGCCACTTTACACGGGAAATAGAACGCAGGCACCTATGATCAAAGGTAGCTAGTCTTTTCATGTCTTCCACTCTCAGTGGCCAGGTCTCACAACCATAAAGGAGGACGGAGCGGACTGATGAGCAGTACACCCGCCCTTTGGTCGATAGTCGAACATCTCGTCTACGCCAGAGTCGGCGTAAACTAACAAATGCGAAACGAGCCCCTTGTATTCGTGCTGAGATTTCGTCAGAGATCAGCCCGTTGGGGCTGATGGTACTTCCCAAATAAGTGAAGCGGTCAACGTGCTCTACCACTTCACTTCCTATTTTTAAACTAGGCGTCGATGTAGTCCAGTCCTGTAACATCATCTTGCATTTGGCGGGAGCGAATCGCATGCCAAACATTCGTAGATTGCAGCTCAAGGTGTTTAGAAGACTCTGCATTTCGTCAGCGTCTTCGCCTAGAAGGACTATATCGTCTGCATATTCCAAGTCAACGAGATTATTCCCCGGTAGCAAGTCAATCCCTGAGTCGCTGAAGTCACCTAGGGTTAAGTCCATTAACACATCTATGATGAAGTTGAATAGAAAAGGAGATAATGGGCATCCTTGACGGACACCACTGGTCGTCATCAGTTCAGATGACAGCTCGCCGTAAGCCCTCACCTGGCTGTATGAGTACGAATAGAGTGCCTTAATCAGTGCAATATATTTTCTTGGAATTCCCTTTACAGCCAAGCATCTCCAGAGAACTTCCCGATCGACAGAGTCGAATGCTGCCTTTAGGTCAAGAAATATAATGACTGTTGGACGCCGGTAGGAATGCCTATGTTCTAGAATCTGTCGGAGGGTGAAGATATGATCAATACACCCTCTTCCTGGTCTAAAGCCTGCCTGGCTCTCTCGTGTTTGTGCTTCCCGAGCACCACTCAGTCTACGCATGATTATTGAGCCTAAGACTTTAGATACTATATTAGTCAAGCTAATCCCTCTGTGATTATCACAGGAAGACTTGTCTCCCTTCTTGTATATGGGGATAATCAGTGACTTACACCAACCCGATGGGACTTCTTCTGATTCCCAGACGCTGCCTAGTACCTCAGTTAATCCGGACAGTAAGCTGTCTCCACCGTACTTAAATACCTCTGGCGTCATTCCATCAGGTCCCGCTGCTTTGCCTAGTTTCAGATTGGTGACAGCTTTAGTAACCTCAGTTAGTGACGGAGGACCTGTATCTATATCCCATTCAGGGAGGTGTTGGATGCTCGGAAGGTTGAGCGTGGCTGTGGGCAAATTAAACTGCTCCTCATAATGCTCTTTCCAACGATCCAGTCGTCTATCCTGGAGCTAATTATAGTGCCATTTTTTTCCGAGATTGTCTCACTAATGATTTGTCTTCTCCCACCCGTTTCCCTGATGAGTCCAAAGAGTTGCCTGGTGTTGCCTATCCTCAAAGCTTTCTCCATCTCTTTGGCTTTTGTCGCCCACCACTGTTCACGGTCCTTGCGGAGACTTTTCGTAAGTTTCCTCTTGTGCAGCTTTCGCTCCTCATTGGAGCGAAAGCTGCACAAATATTGTACAAATTTCCATTTCAGGTACCAGATAACCAAGCATAAATATCTTCTCACCATATTCTCAAAAGAAAATGGCTTTTAAATACTTTTTATGTGGATTACGAGGACTTCACCGTAAGTTACTGAGGTAGAAAACACAGTATTGTGAAATAACAATACAATGACTTGTTTCAAATATACACCTGTAAATATATAATTCAGTGTGTATTTCTTGAGCCCAAATAATTGTCATAAAACTTTCAGAAAATAACCGAGATATAAACATAGAATCAATGGTAAGGTATCATAATACAACTGAACAGAAAAGTATATTTTAAATGCTCGGTTTAAAATAATGCTTGCAAACATGCATGCACATGCATAACAGATACGTAGAAAGTAAGTGGCAGAACTTTCTTTATCATAACTAAAACTCAATCCATTAAAGTGATAAGCACTGATGACATGTAAGTATTTCACAGAAGTCCTAAATTTCTGCAGTTCGCATAAGCACAATGAAGAGAAATCAACAACACAAGAAAAAACAAGAAAAAAGTACAGTTCCAGGACAATTAGACGCCCAAATTGTTGTAGTGGATTTACAGCACTGTTATCAAAGACCACTTTTTACACAAACATAATCGTACAAGACTTAGTGAGCATGTGCAACAAATTAGTTTTCTCAGATTTGTTTAGAATTTCTCCTAAAGTATTACATCATAAGTTAACACTTACATTTTTTCCTTTAGAAGTGTCTACAGTTTTAAAAGCGTAAAAGTTTACCTGAGGTCTGACAGGACGTGACGTTTCATTAAGGTCGTAAACCACATAGAATAAATATTCATGAATCAGTGACCTTCGACGCATTTTCGGTAACAATGGCATTTTGTGCAGGACAATAGTCATCGCCTAAAAGCAGTCGAAAAGAACGTATTAAGTTAGTAAAATATCGAAGTGTGTTATTCGTTCCCATCTGCTGCTTTGTTGTTGTTTTTAATGTGATGTATGATGAGGAAAAAGAGTTGATTCTTAAATTGTATTGCTCATTAATAGATGCTTGTATCAAATGACTGAAAACTGTTCACAAAAAATACTAGTAGCCTTAGTCCACGATGTTGTACTGATTCAGCCATATCTAGATTTCTTTTAATCAGTAGGCTGTGATTTCTTATTTTTGCAAATCATTATTAATTTTTAAGTATTGGTTTTGTAGGGATTTTGTTTGATTAGTTGGAGGATTTCATTATGACCTGAAATCAGTTAGAGAACCATTGGAAAACCAAGAGGGAGTACTGGACGGCTGTTTCGTCCTAGTTTGGGACACTTCAACAGTACGCAAAGACCGTGGTTCGAACCCAGGACCTTCTAGTTACAAGGCCAGCTCGTAAACCATTAAGCCACTGGGACCCGATCCGAGGGCCCATGAATTCTAACTTCTGCCAATTCATGACACAGCGCGGCCACTTCTCAATGTCTTCTTCGATGAGTTACTGCCTCACCCTCAACCCGCTGTACCCTACTGGTCACGGCTACTAAATTACCGTGCGATATGATATTTAAAGGTTAATATTATTAATTTTAAAGCACATTTGCACTCAATTTGAAGTATTTTCGTCGAGTTTTCGTAAGTACGTTTACTCATGAAATAATTTTTCATCAAATTTGATAAAAATACACATTTGATCTATTAATGATTCAAACGTTAGATAGAGACAGAAGGTTCTAAAAGTAAAAATAAGTACTTAACGAAAACTATTTGACGGAAATTAGAGTATATGTGTTGACAAAAATCACAAAAGTTAGGACATACCTCGGGTGACAAAGGATCAACACCTTCAATCTTCGTAACTTGGTTCGCACCAAATACAACAGAACTTTTCTCATCTTGTATGGGGAGATTACGTATAGCTGCGAGATCTATGTTCTTGATAGCTGTCAATATTAATGGATCATCTTCTTTAACATCTGGTTGGCAGATGAAAGTAACCTGAGAAGAAAACGTATGTGTAGCTGCTTTTACTGTAAGATATCACAGTTTTGAGAGAGCATGGTCCAGAGAAACATAAGCTGTAAAATTAATCCACGTTTCTGATTAATATGAAATGAGATAGTCTAAGATGAACTAGTTATACTTTCCAACCCTTTTAGCTCCTAAATTCATAAAGTCGGCTTCACAACTTTTGCAAATAGTCTTATGTAATTCGGATATCAATAGTTCAGCATTAATTTTTTCTAATCCATGCATTATCTTCTGATGCTATTTTTCTTTAATCAGCATCTTAACTACAAGCTGTTTAGTTTTTACATTACAATGACACTATGTTCACATTCTGTAATACCCTGTGAAACTGACAGTACAAAATCGTCTCTACATCTGCAAAAGATGAACGAATGTGTTTCAGCATTCTGATGCATATTTGTGTTTCAGACTGTGAGTATTAGCTAGTCTTCAGGAGCCTGCAATATCATTCGGTTACCGATCGAATTGTTAAAAATGACATCAGCATATGGTCTAATAGTTGAAAGTCAGGCAACTAAATCAATATAATAGATTGCTTCGATAGGTGCTAGCTCAGACTCAGCCAAGTAGTGAGGACTGTCAACCGTTTATCAGATTGACATAGGAAATGATTACAAATATTTATACTAAGTTCAAAGTATTACACCTCTTGTTTCTCATTCCCGACCGACAGCTACCTTAAAATGGTGGTCGGGTTTGCATTTCGCAATGACCCAACAAGCTGCACTGGCTGGAACCAATGTTCGTGCAGGTCCTACCGTGCCAGTAAGGTTGTTAGGATAGCGATTAGACTAAAAGCAGTCACCGGTTTAGTGTAAGAATATTTTTAAACTATGCTGGAGGGTTTCTGGGCTAAGTCGTAATGCTGGGGACACAGGGGTGTAACAGCAGTGAGGTGTTTCCCTCAAACGATCAGCATGCCAGCTATGCTGTCTCTCCACTCTGGATGGAGCGGGTAAGAAAAAGTCGACCCCAACAATTGTACATCCGACTTACCCTCCGGTAGTCCGTAACCGGCGGAAAGTCATTAATACGGAACAAAACCAAGAAACCAGTTCATACAGTTCGTGTGTGACCAGCCTCAAGCAGTTGTACCCTGGGCTCTGTGGTCACGCAACACTTACCCTCTTTACGTTTCAGGTTTTCGAAGAATTAATCAACTACCACGGTGTAGTCAGCCGGGAAGTAACAACGGCTCACACACTTCCAAAAGCGCACGAAGCCTTCCCGAGCATCATTCTCCTCTACCCACATCACCTTACTCCCCTGCTGCAGTTAGTACTATTCTTCAGGTTAGTGAGTTATCTTCACTTCACTCTGTGACCACAAACAACGATGAGAGCCATAGAAACACACCAGATAGCCTTTCAAAGCCGCGTCGCCAACTTCGTTTAGGGGCATTTAACGTCAGGACCCTCTGCCAAATCGGACAACAGACATCACTAGCTAGAACTCTGGCATCTCGAGTCATAGATGTATGTTATGTTTCGGAGACACGCATACAAGACCCGAGTGTGGTCATTCACTTAAACCCCACCCGGCCAACAAGGACAATCAGCAAAATTCACTTTAAGGGTGTCAGGAGACCCCTAAGCTAGCTCGCGAGTACTCGCAGGTGTGGCGATAGCATTGAGTGTTGGGGCTGAAAAATCCCTCCTTTACTGGATCCCGGTAGTTAGTCGTATTTGTGCGATCCGTCAGAACGGGTCCATTAGAAGGACGGCGTTACCCGTCGTTTTCATTTCGTAGTCTCCACTCACGCCCCAACCGACTGCGTTCGGAAGGACTTCTACCTGAAACTGTCTAATTTGTCGCAAAAATCAAAACGTTCAGATATAGTTGCTTTAACAGGCGACTTCAATGCCCAAGTAAGGAATTTGTGCCAGACTGAGAAGTACCTAGGTGGTACAGATGAAGGTCCCTGCCGACGAACCGACAACGGTGGTCGGCTTCTACAGTTCTGTTTAGATAATCGTTTGTTCCTAGTCAGCACTAACTTTAGGCACGAAGAGAGACACTGCGTAACTTGGCGACCTCGATCACCAAATCAGCGCTGGACTCAGATAGACCACAAAGCGACAGGGCATCGTTGGCGAGGGTCAGTAGAAGACTGTCGCTCCTTTTGGAACACGTGCGTAGACTCTGATCACGCTCTGTTTCGCGCAAATTTATGCTTACGACAAAACGGACATAAGAAATTGACGGCAGTGAAACAGTTACGTCCCCAACTAGATCGAGACACTGAGTCCCTATTTAAGGAAAAAATAGCGAAACGTGTATCTGAGGTCGACAGCAGGATTCTCCCTGAGGTAGCCTGGCACAACATACAATTAGCTGTAGACACAGCTGTAAAAGCTGTTAATAACCTGAAACCTAAAGTTAGTAAGAGCCATTGGATCTCTACCGCCTCATCCGAACGGATTGATGCAAGAAGACTGATTCCAGCGAGCTTCGATTATGATGAGGAGGGAAAGGTACTCAAATGCAAACTGAAAAGAAGTCTTCGCAACGACCGTGAACAGTGGTGGGCGACAAAAGCGAAAGAAATGGAGAAGGCATCGGCGATTGGTAACACCAGAGAACTATTTAGGCATATCAGGGAAACAGGTGGTAAAAGGCAAATGATAAGTGAAACTGTGTCTGAGAAGAATGGCACCATAATTAGCTCCCAGGATAGACGACTAGGACGTTGGAAAGAATACTTTGAGGAGCAATTTAATTGGCTTAGGCCACGCTCAACCTGCCGAACATCCAACACCTGCCTGAACGGGATATAGACACATGTCATCGGTCCCTAACTGAAGTTACTCAGGTTGTCACTAGCCTGAAACGAGGTAAAACAACACGACCTCATGGAATGACTCCAGATGTATTTAAGTACGGTGCACACCGTTTACTTTCTGTATTAACTATGGTACTAGACAGCGTCTGGGAATCATAAGAAGTCCAGTCGGGCTGGTGTAAAGTCATTGATTATTCCGATACACAAAACGGGAGACAAGTCTTCCTGTGATAATCACAAGGGATTACCTTGACTAATATGGTATCTAAAGTTCTAGGCTCAATAATGATGTGTAGACAAGGCGGTGCTCAGGGAGAAACAAACACGAGAGAACCAGGCGGGCTTTAGACTAGGTAGTGGGTGTATTGATCATATCTTCACGCATCGACAGATTCTGGCGTCCAACAATCGTCATATTTCTTGACCTAAAGGTGGTATTCGATTCTGTCGACCGAGAGGTACCATGGTGATGTTTGGCTGTGAAGGGAATGCCGAAAAAATACACTGAACTGATGAAGGGGTGTTTTCAACCCGATGATTTTCGTACTTATAATAACCTTAAGAAAAAGCATCATGGTGGTTGGCAACGATCCTTAAAGTGTACTCCAATGCATCAGATGGCTGTTTCTGTGATTATGAGCACAAATTGCAGGTCGTTATCGAACAAGATAAATTTCTCGGATGCTCTATTATGTTTAAATATTTACCGTAACACAGGTGTAATAGCGCTTCAAGAAATTTCGGCTCCACGATTCATATGATGACAATTTAATCTCCATAAATGGTTTCAATATGTACAGACAAGACCGAAGGAGTTGAAGGAAGACGCGAGGTAGTGGTGTTGCTACTTTTATCAATTCTCAGTGGTATGTTACCAACAACGCCTGCTTTAAGTTCTCAATTGATAATATTGACTGTATAACTGTCAAATATCGACCTAAACACCTGTCTAAGTACAACTTCATTTTTATCACGAACATCTATGTGACACCTTGTTGTAGCGCTTCAAAAATATCTATGCTTGCTGATGAATTCACTATTTTCGCTGCCGCCTCTTTTGGAAACTCATTGTCCATAGTGACAGGTGATTTTAATTCTTGTGACTGCAGCTTTCTTACAGTGCTAGGTCATGAAAATGTCGTTAACTTTCCCACCAGACTGGATACTTCTCTTGATCTTGTATTTATAAATGACTGCGGAATATACGAAGTTCGCAAAAGAGCCCCACTGTTTAACTCAAATCATTATATTGTACGGGTTTTACCCAAAATTTATGGAGAGTTACACAAGATAACTTTTTCACACCTTTCCAAGAAAATTGTACATGGATGTTATTCTTTTTGGAGAATGTTCAGAATCTTAGGAGCATGCTCAAAGACATCAGGTGGGACTTGTTTAATGAAGACTCTCTTGATGACACTATCTCTAATATTACACGTTATCTCAAATTTTGTCTTGACACCTGTTGTCCCAGAGAAACGCTCTTCATCAGATTTGAGCGTTTCTCTTTCACTCAACTTAAAAAGCTTCACAGGCAAAAAGAAAAGTCATATAAAATGAAGGATAATACTGGTTTGAAAAGAATTAACATCCTAATCAAGTCTGAAATGCACAGATTGAATTCAATTTACAGCCAAAAGCTTATATCCTGTAAAAATGCCCCTAATATGTGGAAACATTTTAAAGAAATTACTGATGGTAAGCAGATGAATAGTATTCCTAGTTCCCTTGATCTTTGCACACTAAACAAGTCTTTCATACATTCTCCCACAAATTCTAAACTTTCTAGTGTTACAAGTATTAATGAGACCTGCTTCCCTGGTTTCAATACAAATGATGTTCTAAAATGTCTCCAGTCTCTGAACAATTCTTGTAGCCTAGGTCCAGATGGGTTGCCCAGTGTTATTCTTAAAAAGTGTGCAGATATCCCGTGTTATCTTCTCATGGACATATTTAATGAATCTTTTTCCAGAAATGTCGTGCCAGCCGTTTGCGAGGACATTAAAATTGTACCTATACCTAAGTCGCCTACTGGAACATGTTTTATTTATTTATTATTATTTATTTAAACTCATAAAAAGACTTGGTACAATATGGAACGAAGAAGGATGCGCCACACAATAATAATAAAACAACAAAGATTAAACGTAAAAATATAAGTAGAGAACGGATAAAGAACTTCATC